AAAGCATAACAATAAGTGTTGGAATAGAGTGTAAAGGAAAGAATAAGGAAAACGAGAAGAGAAGCGCCATAAAATCCATTAAATAAAGGCTCCGTCAATGACTCCTGCGAGCCTAGGATCCTAGGGCGTACTCCTAAACGAAGATTTCGAGCAAAGAACAGCAGCATGAAAAGCGTAGAACGTTAATGAAATAGCCATAAAATCGATTAAATAAGTTTCCGATTAAATTATGTCCCGGGAACCGGAAACGCCAAAATCGACGTTCCGGCACGTTCTAGCTGATCAAAGCCGCGTCACATCAACGTTTCCTACGTTTTTCACGAATCTACGAAATGAAAAAACTTTACAATTGTCGATTGTAAGGAATTGATGAGGCGATTCAAACAAGCGCCGATCCATAGCTTCGCGCCCTAACCGTCTTTCTGCCTCTGCCTTTGGGCATCATACTACCCGCGGGGCGCGCGATAAGTCGACCCCTGGTAACCTCAAAAGATTTGAACGCGCCGCCCCGGATGCATAAACAAAAATAACAGCAAAATTGACCGGATTTTCCCGATAAAGTCATTGAACCTTTTCGTAAAGTTTTAATCACGTTTTATTAACGTTTTGAACGCGCCACCCGGATACAAAAGCCAAGAAAACCCCAAAATTGACCAGCTTTTCCTCAACAATTCATTGTAACCGTTTTAGTAAAGTTTTGAACGCGCTTCCGAAGCAGAAACACAAAAGCAGAAAAATCGGCATTTGGAAAAACAAGGAATTTCGTCTCTCCCAGAGGCGGTGCGCGCTAAAAAAATGTAATTTGTAATGTGTTGTATCTTATTTTCCACCATAGTATAAAAAGTTAATGGCAGTTTTATATCTGCGTCCGTACCTTATTTTATAGAAAAATAATCCCATTCTCTCTAGAAAACTTTTTCGAAATATCTGTTTGTCAAATTCAGATCGAACGCGGGTTATTTGGGCCATGCGATCGCCGTTAGCCCGGGCTAAGCAGCAGATGAACACAATTGTAAGTCACCTTTATCTGCTCCAACCTGAAATTTTTCAGCCAATAGTAGCCGACTTGAAACCATGCGTCGACCTGTCGCCGGGCCATCCATTCGACTGGAGCATCTACTTGGACGCGTTCGGCACCCAGCCAGCGATAGGAGACGATCTTTTTGTGCATCATAAGGTAGGCAAACTAGAAATATTCAATTCACCTTTATAGTTCGCCGAGCAAACCCTTTTCGAGCTCTTATTCCGGCCAAACTTGAAGGTTTTTGTGCAAAGAGAGGGCGAGAGCAATCGACTGGCGACAGTTCTGGTAGGTTGAAACCAATTTTTTGGTTAAAGTTAAAAGCAAAGTCAAATAAAACCTATTTCTCCCTTTTTTAGCGCGCTTGTGCAGATGAAGTCGAAGTGTATTTCGATGGCGATAGGGAAAATTCCGAATTTGTCAGGGCTGAGCATCTACTGGAAGAGCCGCTGGCCAGCATTTTGATGTGAGTTCTGCAGACGTCCCGCTCAATAACTGCAATTTAGGAAAGACGGGCCAGACTCGAAGCTCGTCAAATTCACGCGAAATGACGTGGCTGACTTTTTGAAGCCGGTGAAGGATTTTATCCACGTGGGCGGATTTTTTGAGGTGCAAGCCGAGTATGACCCGTTGTTGGTATTGCTCGTACAGGTTGGTGAAGCGCTAATTTGCGGAATGTTTTGATGTAGGTGATGAGCAACAAGTCCGGGCTACTCGTCTACGGCGACGGGTCGAAGGCGTACGCCTGCGTCCATATTTATGATGAGCGATGTCACGCCGTGGGTTGGGCGGAAAAGGGCTTGCAAACGGTAAGTAAAAGAGTATTTCTATACAGATTTTTCTAATATAAATAGAGGCAGTGTTTCTAAGCCTTTTTTACTATTCGCAGATGTAAAAAATGTAGAGATATCGATTAAAAAGTACAAAAAATATAGATTTTTGGACCAAGATCGACTAAAAAAATTATAAGTTTTTTAAAATTGCCCGCCCCCGATAATGAGAAAGAAGCGGAAGATTAATCTACCTAAAGAAAATGTATATTTCAGAACCTCCGCTACCAAAAGCTGGTCCCACATTCACCGCTGGAAGTGCAAAAACGGGCGATCCCAGAGCGATTTTTTGAGCACCACCCGGTCCCGAGGCATGCTTACAGAGTAAGTAAAAAGAAAATAAGCGAATTCACCATTTTTTTAGGAAGGCCAGATAGTAGAGGTCGTCGTCCCAGACCGAACCCCTAAATTCTGCCCGGGCTTCATCTCAAAAATTCTCAACGGCCACTACTTTTTGGTGAATGTATGCATGGAGGACATCAAAAAGGATTTCGAGGTGAGATCGAGTTTCGGAATGAAAATTAACTACCTTTCGTAGACAGTTTATAAAATAAATTAAATTCAGATGCCAATGCACGTCGGCCACCCTTTTCTGCTCTCAGCAAACTGGGCTCGAAACAACGGCTTGCCATTGACTCTGCCAGAAGACTTCAAAGTCGACTTCAACTATCCGGCATTCCAGAAGGAGCTCGAGTTGGATGTGGGTTGACATCATATTGTTATCTTGCGTTGAAACCAACTTTTCAATCCAATTTTTCTAATGTAAGATGACGTGTTGACTATTCACGAACGTAATGGCTTTACAAATTTTCACTAAAGTAAAAAACAGCGATTTTTCGACCGAAAATTCACCGAAAAAAATTTCTGTTTTTTCAAAAAGCGTTTTTCCACTCGACTAAATAAGTTAATAGTTAATCTAGTCTAAATAGTCGCTATGGTTTAACTTTACTACAAACGCTGTTAAAAGACTTACGATGACAGAGAAGTCAATTTGGTACAAAGTTTAGGAACCCATTGACGAGGAATCTCTTGTCCTGCCAAAACGTCGCCCTCCCGAACCTATGCGCCGCATGGAGGTCATCAACTTTGGCAAGCTGATCGCCGAGCCCGTCGTTATTATCAGGTTTGTAGAAAAAAATAATTGAAAGAAGAAAAATTCTATTTTCAGAGCCGTCCGACACCTTGTTTGGGTGACGCTGGAAAATGCAAGGCCGGGCGAGGGCACAGAAATCTTTGGCGTCAGGTAAAGAAAAAAAACAACGTAAAACATGTATTTTTTTAGCTCTTACAACCTCTACCCCTGCAACTTTGCTCAAAACAACGGAATTCGCATTGTCGCCCCGCCAGTTTTCAAAGCGCTTCCGGAATTGGAGGAGGGCCAGGTAACCTTATAAACCAAAACTTCAAAATTTAGTTTATCTTTAGTTTGGTTATTAACTAAATACAAATAAGCTAATTTAGTATTAACTTTATTTAGATTCGCTTTCACAAAGATCTAATCTTCACATCACGAATACACAGCCCGTTTGCGCCATCAAATATGCCGTATCTACAAGAGCGCTATATCAAAGGTAGTCTATTAATTATAAAAACTGTTTTTTAACAATTAGCAACTATGAAACCGTATATTTTAGGCGACTACTACATCTCCACCGTTTTTGTGAATCCAAAATGCTACGCCGGTCCTTACTTGGATGAGAAACAAGTATCGCTACTAAATCCGTGCTACGGTCCTGGTCCTCTGCATCGAGTTATCAGGCTTTTATTCAGGGTAAGCTGTAATCTACACGTTTTGATGCCCAAAATCAATTCAGGACTTGTTCGACTGCTTCCACAACATTGCCGATTTCTACAAACTGTTCGAGTGGGCCGAGACGACCGAGCTGAAGACTTCTTACGCCAAGGTAGGCTGACTTTAACTATTTAATTAGCCTTCTATTGGATTTTTACAAATCTTATAAACAATTTTAGAAAGAAAGACATCGCAACAAACACCTCAACGAAAGCCTCAGTCGCGTTTTGCATTTCCCGCGCTGCGAGACGACTCGACACTTTTCTGGGTGGATCAGGGTAAGTTTCTAGTTTCGGGACTGGTACCCAGATTAGATTTTATGAACACCTTTATTCTAAAAAAAATAGAAAAGTTGCTTATCTTTTTTTGCCTTTTTCAGGTAAAAAACCCTCAAAATTTGCAAAAAAAACGCTCTGTAACTATCTGCGCGCGGAAATCTGGCGTGTATTGTATTGTATTTATATTTTGGTACTGGACCGTTAGCAGGGGGGGAGGGATTTTTAGAAGGAGGACAACTAATTTTTCTTTTTCCGCAGTTTGTTTTATAATAATATTTTCAGTATTTTTTATTGCTAGAAAGTTACAAAAACTATCTTCAATTTATAACAATGAGAATTTTCATATTTTTCGGTCATTTTTCATACAATTTTGAGCAAAAAGCCAAAATTTTGTAATTTATGAACTTATTTATCGAAAAACTGTAAAATTGTTTAAAATTAGCCTAAATTTTGTTGCAGGACCGTGCAGGATTAATGGGCAAAATTAAATTAGTTTTCCCCCGGCTAAACCCCTCCCCTCGCTAACAGTCCAGTACCAAAAAAGCTTGACCTTTTCTGGGAAACCGACGTGTACTAAAATTTCCTTATCCTCCCTATTCTAGACGGTGCTCCGCGTGCTCCAAGCCTGCCCGCATCTAATCGCCCTCGAAAAGCTGGGCGACGGCTGCGAGCTCGGCTGCAAATATGTTGACAAGCAAAAGTTGATGGTGAGAAATCGAGACAGACAGCGATAAATCATAATCCCAGGCGCTCACCAATCTCGCAACGCCCCGACCGGAACCGGGTCAACCCAGAGAGCCACTCACAAGGGCACAGGTCCGTTCTTTTTTTTTTGCTAAATAAAGACGTCCCCGAACGTGGGAATCCTGCTCTTTTTTGCAGGCAGACACTTTTTCTGGAACGCCTTTTCCCCCGGGAATTCTGTCTGGCTATTTTTATTTAAGGCCGTGCGCACCGTATCGTATTAAAAAGAAAACAAACCATTTTACTAGCACTTAACGCCCGTTTTAGATGTAAAAATTGCTCGAATTTTCGAGAGTATTCTTTTTGACCAATATTTATGAAAACTTCGTCATTATGTCTTTTTTCGCAATTCAGCAATTCGCAATTGATAGGATTTTATTATACTTAATTTTTCCTACGTCCCCATATTTCACCTATTATGAAATATAAACTTTTTAATAGCATAGAAAACAAAATAAAATGGCCGCTGTAAACATGAAAAGTTTAGAAACTTGCTGAGCATCGCAAATTTTTGCTTTTCGGTCAAAAATTATTTCAATTTTTCTTGTTAAAAAGGGTTTTATAAAGTTTAGTAATCACTAAAAACTATAAAACTAGTTTTATTACTATCTACGCTAGACTGAATATGCAAAATTAGCCCCCCCCCGCTAGCGAACCAGAACCATAAAACAAAAACCAACGTTTTTAGGCTATGGAGCGCAAGGAGGTGAAGCGGACCAGCTCGAAGAAGGCTTTGACGAAGAAAGAATCGGTAAGTCTACCTCAAATAATAAACAAACAAAAAAATAAAATTTCTAGCCCCCAGATGTCCCGACCAAAAAACCCCGATCTCTCCGCAGCAGCGACCAAATGAAAAATGGCGTCAAAGTAAGTCGCGCAACTTAAAAAATACCGAGATTATCGACAACTTTAAGCTTGTGTTTTGACGCCCCAAAAACTGGTATCCACACAAATACACCCTTCTCTCTCTCGCTCGTAAAACAGTCTGCCACACACAGAATCTCCTATCTATTTATCGTTTTTGTATATTTTGTATATTATACGCTGTCTATACCTTGATATTCCCGATTCCATGCATGCGGTGGGCTGTCTTCACTTTCAAAAGCACGCCGGAATTCAGGAGGAGTTGCTGGAGGAAGAGCCACCATTGACGACGTACGTCTACAAATCTGATGGCTCGTCCTCATCGTCAAATGACCGCGTTACGCCAGATGAGGTGGTGACCACCGTCAAGCAAGCCGAAACGGTAATTCATATAAGGGAACTTTTGCATGATCAGGGGGACCAATTTTTTCACGAGCTATTTTTCAAACAGAAATTTCTTCTAAAATCCAAAAATTCTCATTCAAGATACAACAAATATTGGCTTTTCGACCAAAATAGACGTTTTTTAAGATTTTTGCACTTGGAATTACGCAAATTTATAAAAAGCTAGTAAGCTGCTTATTATTACGTTACGAGGCATTCTAGGGAAAAAATTGCGCTTGCCTAGTCTAAAAAGTCGCTACAAATCGTAAAAGAAAATTGTTTTGGACGTTTCTGTTCACGAAAAACTTCTACAAAACATTTCAAAAAATATAAAACTTCAGAATTTATCGTTTTCAAGTACTTCAGAATATCAAGTTAAACTTTAGAAAGTTATTAATTTTTGACGGGTCAGGAAAAAAGTAGCTTTCCACAGTTCCAGGCCAAGTGCCCAGAATTCTGAAAATACAAAAAAATTTCCTAAAAAATTTCAGCAACCCTCCACCTCCAACGACAAACCTAAACCCACTACCGCGGTCCCAACTGGGCTTTCGGTAAGTTCCGAAAAAATAACAAAAAAGCTCTGATTCAGTTCCCGCCCACAAACCCGGCCACGTGGAATGAAGACGACTTATCGGGCTACTTTAAAGCCCGCGAAAACAGCGGCTTCATCGTCGAATTTCTCACCAAGCATGTAAGTCATCAAAAGAATCTTGGATCAATTTTCTAGAACATGGGCGGAGCCGCTTTTATGGCTCTTACAATTGACAACATCAGAGGATTCGGATACGTTCTCGGGCCCGCCCTCAAAATTCATGATGCCGTTACGGTAGGCTTCAGATTACGAGCTTCACTTATTGCTTTAGCATCTCGTCACCGCGCAAAAATACTTCGAACCTGCTAATTGATCTCTACGACAAAAACGATGATGCTCTCTTTCCAGTGATATGGGTATCGCGCCTAATAAATTATTTCTTTGGCATCCTGCACGAGATTTTCAAAGTGTCGAATCTTGCAAAATCGTTATAATGATAAAAGACAAGCTTTATTCACCTTCTCACCCTAGTAGAAATCTAAAATGACACACAAACACAATCAACGCTACAAGGTTTCGTTTTGAAGTGAAGTAGACAGGCGTGGGTGCGGGGGAGGCTTCTCACTTGGGGCCCAGCATGTTCTCCGGCTTCACCCAGTCCTTGAACTGTTCCTCGGTGAGGTAACCTGAAAAGAGAATAGCTGAGAAAAGGCGATAATTACTCACCCAATTTGATGGCCTCCTCCTTCAGCGTGGTTCCGTTCTTGTGCGCCGTCTTGGCGATCTTGGCGGCCTTGTCGTAGCCGATGTGCGGGTTGAGGGCTGTGACCAACATCAGGGACTCGCGCATGATCTAAAAAATTGAATTAGGTTTTTCATAGTTTTCGCAAATTCGGTTTTTAATAAGTTTATTTCATCAATTTTTTTCATTTAAAGTGGAAAGCCTCTTTAAAAACCTAGAAAAATGTCCAAAAATTTGTAATTTTTGTCGAAAAACGGTATTTTTTTTCGCCTTGTTTTAATAAAAAAATCGTCAAGATACAGATGTAAAACAAACACTCTTGAATTACTTGCATCTAGGAAAGTAAAAAAAGAACGTAGAAACAGGAAAAAGTAGATCAAACTGCGAAAAACTTTTTTACCTTGGCAATGTTGTCGCGGTTCGCCTCAATGCCCTTGACGCAGTGGTCGGTGAAGGAGACGGCCGAGTCGGCGAGCAACCGCGTTGACTGGAGCACGTTTCGCACGATCAGCGGCTTGAAGACGTTCAGCTCGAAATGGCCGTTCGAGCAGCCGACCGAGACGGCGACCTAAAAATGTTTTATTTTGCAAATAAAGGTGGCTTACCTGATTTCCCATCACCTGGGCGGCAACCATGGTCATGGCCTCGCACTGTGTGGGGTTGACCTTGCCGGGCATGATCGAGCTGCCGGGCTCGTTCTCGGGCAGTGAGAGCTCACCGAGGCCACATCGGGGTCCGGAGCCGAGGAATCGAATGTCGTTGGCAATCTTCATGTACGTCACCGCCAGCACGTTCAGGGCACCGTGGACCTAGATAGAATCTTAGATAAGATTTTTTTGAAAATAGTACCTCAGCAAGGGCATCGTGGGCGGCGAGCGCCTCGAACTTGTTGGGCGCGGTGACGAAGGGCAGGCCGGTGAGCTCGGAGACTTTGCTGAAAAAAACAAGGTTTGAAGGTAATTTACAAAGTGATTTTCGAACAGATGATGATCGCTGGTCAAATTTTACAAAAAATTATTTTCGAAAATACCAAAATAGTTTTTTTTTCGAAAAATAGAGAGCGACGAGCTGAAACCAACCCGGCAACTTTCTCGGCAAATCCCTTGCGCGTGTTGAGGCCAGTGCCGACAGCCGTTCCTCCAGCAGCCAACTCGTACAGGCGGGGAAGCGTTGCCTTCACGCGGGCGAGGCCGTTGTCGAGCTGGAAAATAAATATTAAAAAAACGGAATTTTTATCACTTTCAAAAATATTTTTCTGTTCGTATTACTCACGGCAATGTACACAGTAACTTTTCAGCCCATTAAAAATACCTGCGTAACGTAGGCGGAGAATTCCTGTCCGAGCGTCAACGGCACGGCGTCCTGGGTGTGCGTGCGGCCAATCTAAAGCAAAAGATATAAAAATTGTGCGTAAAATAACCTTAATGATATCGCTGAACTCCTGGGCCTTGGCGTGCATGGCGTCGCGGAACTGGGTGAGGGCGGGCAGCAGGCGGGAGTTGATCTAAACAAAACGTAAAAATCTAGAAAATTCAGCCAACCTCTCTCGCGACGGCAATGTGCATGGCTGTGGGGAAAGTGTCGTTGCTGCTCTGCGACATGTTGACGTGGTCGTTCGGGTGGACGGGCGTCTTCGAGCCGAGCTCTCCGCCGAGGATCTCGATGGCGCGGTTGGAGATGACCTAAAACAGAGAAGAATAAGCTTTATTGGCAATAAAAAGGAGATTTTTAGGTGAATTAACTGGTTCCATAAAAAAATAAAAATTCTCAACAATCTTCTAAAAGTTCATATTTTGCCAGAAATTAGCAAAATTGCGATTCTCTCCACGCTCGTTATCGTAGTGTTTTGACATCATTAAATTTTCGATAAAATCACCTCATTGACGTTCATGTTGGACTGCGTACCGGAGCCGGTCTGCCAGGTCATCAGCGGGAAGTGCTCGTCCAGCTTTCCAGCAACAACCTCATCTAAAGCAGAATTTTTCAAAGCAAAAGAAATCCTACCGGCCGCTTGGGAGATGGCGTCGACGAGCTTCTTGTCAAGCCCGTACTCCTGGTTGACGAGGGCCGCCGACTTCTTGAGGATGCCGAACGCGTGGACGACGGGCAACGGCATGCGCTCTTCGGGGCCTCCGATCTTGAAGTTGATCATCGACCTAGAAAATGAAGTTGAAAAACATGGCCAATTTTACACTGTATGCCTGTAGATATCGCAAACAAGCATCTTATTTTTTCGTCCTTCTTTCAGTAACCAAAATGCCGAAAATTTCCAGAAATTTCCGGAAATCGATTCTCGCGACTGATTTCCAGATATTTATCGTTACTCAAATTTTACCTAGCCGTTTGTGCTCCATAGTAGCGGTCGGACGGCACCTTCAGCTCTCCGAAAGTATCGCGCTCGACACGGTGTCCTCCGGCAAACATGCTGAAAAAAAATTAACATTTTGTTGTTGCCCCCGAGGACTAGAAAATTCTAGTTCAAAAAAGCTTGAAAAGCGGAATGCCGGTGAGTTCGACCTTGGCAACAGGGGGTTGGGCCCAAAAAGCGGCGGTCAATATTGATCATCCGGTTGGGTGAACCCGGCCCGAAAATTGGCAAGGCTCTAGTTCGCGGAAAAAGCAGTTAGTTCGGAAAAAGGGATATTTTTCAACGAATAGCCGGAATTACGTTGGGTAAATAACTAAGTTACGCCCAAATCATGCAAAATAAGCTCCAATTTTGCGAGAAACCAGAAACAAAAACCCATCAATTGCGGAGAAAATACCTTGACGATATCTGGAAGAGCCGACTCTGGAAGTTGGCTGGAGCGGCAAATCGGCTGAGCATCACCGACCAGAAGAGGCAACCTCGAAGGGGTCCTGCAAAATGGAATAGAGTGCGAGGGAACGGCCGTAATAGCGAGAACGCAGAGAAAATCGGGGGTGGCCCCAGTGAAAAGCGCGAGTCTTGACCCCGCCGGCTGGCGGGTGTAAATTGAACACACGGGCTCCGCAAAAACGAGATAACCAGGACGAGGATCTAACAAGAAGAGAAAGAATCCGCCGAGAAAATAAGAAAAAAAAATCGAAAATAGACATCGTTTTTACAGAGTTTCAGCTTCTAAACTTTCGGCCAGGCCAGCTTGAAAAAAAGATCCGAGAAAACTCTCGTTTTAGAAGTAAGCAGGCAAGCAAAACCAAAACGTAGAAACCAGATATAATTTAACAAAGTTGCAGCTTCGCTTTTAAGCTAGAAGTCCTAACCGCCAGGCTGGCATTACGAATCTTGAAGGAGAAGCTTGAAAAAGGGACTAAATAATGGCAAAGGAAAGGCTGGTTTGCAAACGAAAAACTAAAAAAACCGTAGAGAGTATAAAAAAATAAATTTTTGGAGGGAGAATTTTTAGAAGAATTAAAAAGTAGAAACTAGGAATTATTTGACGGCACACCAGCTTCGAAACTTCCGGGCCAGCAATTTTCGGTACAAAGCTTGAAGAAGAAGCTTGAAAAAGCAAAAAAACATAGTTATAACGGAACGGCATATTTCAAGCAAGTTCTAAAAAAACTAGGCATATTTTGCAAACTTTCATCTCTCAATCTTCCGAGTACACTCCAGCAGGTTGCCTCACGAAGCTTCAAGGAGAAGCGTAAACAAGCAAAAACATAGCTATAAGGGAACACAATTGGTAAAAAAGACATTTTAAAAGCAAGACACGAAAATAAAAAAGTTTAGAGAGTTTGTCGAAATTTTGGAAATGCTGCAACGAGACGCTACTCTGGACGGTTGAACGTACGGAACGCGCGGATTTCCCCCGAATTTTCCTTTTTTTCCCCACACGCGTTATACTACTTTTTAGTGGTTTTTATACAAAAACACTAACGTTTTTGTATGTTTTTAGAACCCGTTTCTCCGAATGGCCGGCGGTTCATCGCGCAAGTCGCGCAAACGGGCCCCCGGCTCGCCGGTGCTCGCCCAGGCCAAAATCAAGCTCCCAAAACTGCTGCTCAAGGCGGACGCAAGTGGAAAGGTTGTGCTGTATTTTGCTCATTGACTTTGTTTTTCATTTAGATTTCGGTGACCCGCATAAACGATCCGCCGACAGAGGAACGGACGCGTGACGAACAGTCCAGCAAAAACACGCCTTCCGGAAGTTCTGACAAGAAGCCGAAGAAAGAAAATCATTCGAAGAAGGAAAATCATTCTTCGGGCGTGAAAGCTAGTGTATAGTTATTTCTGTAATCTAAATCTGTTTTTTTTTTAGATATCGACCACTTCTACTACCGCAATCGCCTCGGGAGCTGACCTCGTAGAAGGGCCTGAGAAACAAAAGAAGCCCAAGAAACCGTCGTCGGCGGCTGAAAAGTTGATTGTCAGTTTTTTAGTAGCTTGGTATAGTGCTTTTTAGACACCGCTCGCTTCTACCAGCCGCAACGGACACGTGAAGGGCGAGGACAGATCGGAGAAGAGAAAGAGTGACAAGAAGTCGTTGGAAATAAACGAAAAAGTGCGCGTGGAAGAAGAAAGTTTCATTGTTAGTTGACGTTCTAATTTTTGTAAACTTGATATAGGCCTTGTCCGCTTCTACAAGTCACATCTCCTCCGAGCTCAAGCCCAATGACAGCCCGCCGAAGGAACGACCGGCCCAGACGGCGCGCAGCGCGCAGATGTCGGCTAGGAGGAAACAATTGCGCGAGCAGGTATCTAATTCTTTTTCTTCAGAGGTCTTTGCTAGAAATGGATTTAGCCTCTCGTGGTCCCACACAATTTATGTACCTTGTTCGCCGTTAGAAAGTTTATAGAAATAAGAAATTTTGCGAAAATCATTGGTTTTTTGATCAAAAATTCCGATTTCGAGGAAACAATTTGCACATTTTTAGGATTTTTGGTCATTTTGTCAAATAGAAAGCTACGAAAAAGCTATAAAATTAAACTCACAAAACCTAGTAATTTCCTGTTTTAGAAGAAGGCCGAACAGCTTGCGAGCGAAAAGCTGAAGGCCGAGCTTGCCGACGCGGTGTTGCTTCCTCCCCCGCCGCCGCCACCAATTTTGGAGCCGGTTGAAGGCCAAAAACTCGCACCCGATGCCTCTTCGCCGATCGCCCCCAGCAGATCTCAGGAGGTCGTGACGGCCACCGCCAAGTTGGACGCGATGCAAGCGTACGCTTCTACGGATGACGAGCACTACTACACGCCGACCAAAGCGATCACCGCTTCTCACGACGACTCCACGCCGACCGTGCAGCCGGCGGGGACGGACAGCTTATCTACGCCCATTTCGCCGCTCAACACCGATGCTTTCTTTACGCCTGGGACCACCGGATATATCGGCCCGGTGTTTAAATTTACCGCGGCTCGGAAGCAAGGAGAAGCGAATGGGGTATGAATTTGTTGCTATTCATATGCTTATGAATATTTTTGTTCATTTTCTAGCTTTTCCAAAAGGGAAGGCCGGTTTTTTCCCCCGCAGTATTTTATTGTTTTGATCAGATTTAGCTAGATTTCAAGGGAAAAAAGCCTTTTAGAAGACTTCGAAAGTCATTAAAACATTTCTATCAGTTATTTTTGGCAAAGAAGTAGATTTGTTTTTGTCCTATTTTTACATGTATTGTTTTTAGTGTTCTTCGTAATATTTAGCTACATGAGAGAAAAGGTTCAAAAACATCGCGTCCTCCAAAATTTCAAATTTTGCGTGAAATTCGGCCATTTTGCGACCAATAATCGGCCTTCTGTAGTGTTTTAAGCCAAAATTTTAAAGCGTTGAGGCTTAGGTTTAGCATTAAACTAGAAATATTATTACAACACTAATTTAGGTCGCGCAAGGTGCAAAACCGCCATTCACCAAGGACTCGACGTTGAACGGGGGCTCTGCCACAAGGACGCCTTCCGTTACAATTATCGCAGACCTGAGAAAGGATCTTCACAAAAGGAAACTCGTATGATGGATGCGCATTTCAAGGAATAATTATTTTTTAGGATTCAGCAAAGTCGACGGCCAACAAGGGCGCGGACGCTTCTACGCCGCTTGCGCGGGTCACGACAAAGCCAGCCAGATCCGAGATTGATCTGGCGAAGTCTGGCAGGTCGGCCTTGGACGTGGCTCGGCAAAAACTTCATGCGGACCGCTTGAAGGTAAACTGATTAACTTCGGTACTGGACTGTGGGATTTGGCCCATTTTTATAGTCTTTTACTAGTTTTTGATTTCTAACAAATCAGAAAGAAGTAAAATGATGAGAAATAAAATCCTAGGGGGATTTTGAAATGTTTAATTTTATGGTAATTTTTTATAGATATTTTTCACAAACTTGTTTGTGCTTTTTCTATTCAAAAGCTGTGTAAGTAGCTATGGACATGAATTTCGTTATATGGCCTTACGAGATTAATCTTGGCTTCCGCTGCTAACCCCCCCCGCTAACAGCCCAATACCTCAACTTCTCCAACAAACCAATTTTTAGAAACCTAACACCGACTTGTCGATCCCAAAGCCTACCCCGCCGCAACGACATGGTATACAGGGTGTCCCAAAAAAAACGAACCATCTGGCATTTCGCCGGGTTATATTTGGACCAGAGGTGTATCAGACCCTAAATAACAACAATCCTGAGTTATAGCCCCATAGCTACAGTAGTTTTAAAGTTATAACGAAAATACTGTTTTTCCCGGAATTCTGAACAGTTTTATCGGCTATCTTTTTGGACTTTGCATCGATTTGCATCGACTTCCGGCTGCGAATCCCTAATTTCGCTTAAGAACTTGGGTAATTTTGCGTTGTAAAAATCGCATAAATCGAAGCTTATTTAACGAATTTTTTTCTAGAAAAAATTTCTTAAGGTGAAGGAGGCCTTCCGGATCATTTTCACTTAATGTTTAGGGGATCTAATTCCACGAAAACCCTATGAAAAATAGAAAATAAAGTTTGTTTTTGCCATAACTCGAGAACTACTATAGCTACCGGGCTAAAAGTCAGGATTGTTGTTATTTAGGGTCTGATACACCTCTGGTCCAAATTTGAGACCGATTGGATGTAACACGGCGAAATGCCAGATGGGTCGTTTTTTTTGGGACACCCTGTACATCGGATTTTCTCCGATTATACGTTCTACTAGGTCACTCGGTGCTGGACATGCTGCTGCCCGATCCGGAGGACGAGGCGAAGAAGAAGGAGCGGAAAGAGGCAAGCAAAGCATGGTTTATTTTCAATATATTCTGTTTAGCTGGCCGAAAAGCGTGCCGAGCTGGAGCGGCAGAAGGCACTGGACGCTAGGAAGCTCAAGGAGCAAGAGAGCCACGCGGCAGCGGAGAGGATGCGCGAGGCGACGAAGATTGAGGTCTGTCGAGTAGTTATATAAAAAAACTGCTCTGTTAGCAGGGGGCTGTTCTTCGATAGGCATGAAGTAGTCTGATAAGTAAAAACGTTAATGATTTTACCTGGTTCATTCAAAATGCTTTTTTTTGCAATTTTCTTGGAAATTTCTTTTCTTAGTTTTTAGCTATAAAGATTGCCAAAATACTAAAAAAATTGTTAAATTCGCAGGGTAGGGGTAAAGTCGTGGTATTACTCTTCGCTTTTCAATTATTTTTCTAGGTCGAAAAGATGCGGCTGAGCGATCGTCGGAAGCGCGACACGCATCCGGTCTTCCAAGAATCGTGCTTCTACGACGCGTGCGACATCGTCGACGCCTGCGCCAAGCTGTGGGGCGACGCCATCCCGAGCGAATGGCTCGAAGGCCATGAAGATTACGAAGAATCCGTGGACTCAGGCGACGAAAATAATAAGCAAACCATGACCGGAATCGTGGGCTAAGCCGACGTTGTCATATTTCATTTTTGCCCTCATGCCCCGCATCCGCCCCCAATTGTTCTCCATCGCATGTTGGCTGTTTACTAGGATTAGATTAGAAAAATTGTTGCATGGGTGTTTAGCTTGATATACCTAGGTTCTTAATCTATTTACTTGGCTTCTTTTCGTTCTCGCGCTTTGCTGGTTGATAAATTTTGTATTTGCGCCTTTGGATACGGGGCGATTTGAGCCAGAACCGGCTGTAATGTTTTTTTTAGATATACAGTTTCCATTCCTGACCTCTCCGATCACCTGAAGAAATTTAAGCTGATTTTTAATGGCCTTTCCAAGCTTACGGAGCGCCTTCATTTTTGAAAGCTACCTCTATCATTTTTCCGAAATGCTTTTCTGTACTCTGAGTTGCATTTTCGAACGCGCTATCTCATGAACCTGCAGCCAAAAATTTTTGCGTCCGCTTTTTAATTTCCTTGCAATCCAACCCACTTTTAAAGAATTTCTTTTGCATGGAGTTCGAGGGACAGATTCGTGAGATGGCGTATTCGCAAACGCATCTTTTTTACTACAGTAGCTCGTCGATCGTTGCTAAAAAATATTCCATGCTATTTTTAGCAATGCCTAAAATCAGGAATTGCGGGAGAATTTGGGACAAAAACCGTTGTAAGTTTTGAAACGGCGCGCCTCGCAAAATTCAAAAAACTGATGGGCAATCGGTGAAAAATTCTACGCTTGATAGGGTCGGTTACGAATCGAGTGGTTTTGTCCCTGTGGATGTCCCACTTTTTCATTTTTTCAAAGGTTTTATTAGAGGGGTCTAAACCCGTCTATCTGGGACCAATTGTGAACAAATTACCCTTTTCAGCCTAGATCAAAACACATAACTCTGTGGCATTCTTTAGAGATCGGCTAAGAAGTGTGGTGCGAGCGGATAAGGGAAAGCCGCGCCGCGCTGTTACCTGATTGGCCCGCGGGGACCGGTCAACCCTTCCGCCCCGCTGGTAGACAATGGATGGGGTGATGAAGCCCGTTAGCGGCTGCCAGGTAGCCCGAGTATATCCTCAGATTCGATTAGCCTGCAGTAACAGTATAAATAATAGTCAGAGGGTGGTAGCAAGCATCTGGCTGTGTTTTGGTGCTTGCATTACATCATCAAGCCTTACTTTTCCGGAATTTATCTTGGTTTTCTAGCTTTGTAGGGTTCTGGCGCATTAGCGCGAGGGATAAACCTTTTTTCAGCCTAAATTCAAGCCTTCAATTTTAATAAAATCTAGGTTATTTTTAAAGTGTTTTAGCAGTTTCCTAGTCACACTTTGAAAACAAAAACACATTTTTTGGCAATTTTGGCCCAAAAGCCGAATGTTTGAGAATGTAGTAATAGCCCTACTTTTTGCAATTAGTGCCCTTATATACCGTTTATTATCAGACTTTTCTCCAAGCCTACGCCATGAAGTCGTTCGTCGCTTTCTGCCTGATTGTCGAAGTCGCCTACGCTTGCATCGCCATCCCGCCGCTTCCGGGCGCGGCTCCTCCACCACCACCGCCTCCACCGCCGGCTCCTTGCTGCTGTAATTCAAGACTATTGATTTTTTAAATCTAAGATGCAATCATTTCCTGAAAATCGCGATTTAGCGGAGTTTTACGAAGCCTCCTCGAGCGAGGCGTATCAATTTTTCTGTCCGAATCTAGCGTGAAAAGCGGAATTTTTAAGTAGGAAGCTATGAAACTTCGTGATTTGTATTTTTTTATCTAAAGCTCAATGCACTTTTAATTTCAGGAGTTTAGCGAAGACTCCTGAACCCGCAGAGCTCCACTTTTGCGTTTTATTGACAGTCGGCGCTCGCGATTCACATTTTTTTCCTTCGAAACCTAGCGCAAAAAGAGTAATTTTAATTGACGAATACTCAAAAATAATATTTGAAACACTCCTTGCACCTAGTAAACCTTTTTTACAGGTGCAGCCGCTGCGCCAGCTTGTGCGCCCCCGCCACCACCATGCGGTAAGTGCACGGACACTAAAACGTGATGTCAAAGTCAGAATTTCCGATTACCCGAAAAATTCATCCTGACAATTCGCATAAAATCGCTGGAAAAAAACCTTAGGCTGCGGCTGCGGCGGGCGCAAGAAGAGGTCGATTCTGGCGAGCGAGCAGCCGACGACGCTCAGCCTTGACGAGGTGGCCCTGGTCGCGTCAACGGAGGACCAGCTGTGCAACTCGCTGACGTTGAAAAAGATCTTGAAGGAGGTAAGGCATTTTCGAAAATACTTTCCAGCGAAAAGTTCGCTAATTGACGAGAAAGCGTCGACAACGAAAATTAGCTTAAAAAGGCGGGGTTTTAGAACATGACCAACTCGCCGAACTTCTCGAAGGTGGCCATCTCGAACATCCTCGCCGATCGGAACACGACTTTCTCGGTGAGTGCAGCAAAAGCGTTGAATTTGGCCATCTGATTCAAACGATACTTCATTGGGTTCTCTCGTGTTTGTAACAGTTTAAAAGTTTTCTAAATGATCCTGATACGTGAAATATGGCAAAGTTTTACTAAAAATACTATTAGAAGGCGGTTAAGAGCTCTGGATCTTTAATTTAAAGATTTTCAGGTGATCTGCGGAGCCGGCGAGCTGGAATTCGCAATGAGCCATGCCGTCGACCACTGCTCGCTGTCGCAGGATGGCGTCGCCTGCCAGATCTTCACCGAATAATTTCGCTATTGATTTTCACACATTTTGATTAGTTTAGTAGTAAGTTACGTTTTTGGTTGACATTTCCCTTCCACCCCTACGCTCAGAACCCATTCACAGCGTCACGATAGTTCCGCACGTCTTTTAAGGCGTATAAATACTTAAATTACTTTCAGCGTATGACACCTTACAAGCCATTATTGAGCAATTTGTGATGTTTGATTACACGGAAGAAATAGTCTGGAATTTCCACCGACCCTCTAATTCCGCTCTTCAAAGGGCGGCCCGAATCGGACACACCGTCTGGCCGAGCTGTCCATTAAATTTTAATAGGCTGCGGGGCGCTAAAAATGGAACGCCCTTTGAGATATCAAGGTGTCGCGGTGCGTAAACTGGATTGTATCGGAAAATGTCAACCGAAGTAGATAAAAAACTTTCTCAAAATAACAAAAATTGGATCTATACTAAAATCCCGATTTTCCTGTTAATTTTAATCTCAAAAAACTGCTCAGCGCAATCGCAGCGGCAGAAAAAAAATTAGCGATCGAAAACACTTCATCTATATCTTTGCTTTCGAAGTCGACCAAAAGCTCCAAAGTCCCCCCGCGGATCAAAAAGTGCTCACCGGGTCGTCTCTCAAAATACCCCTGGGCTCCCCCCGAAGAAATCGTAAAAATCGGAGGGCCGAGTCGTGAAAATCAGCGGCGGCACCGGGGCTTTGATTTTGCACCCAACATGGCCCCGTAATCGCGTGACGCACCCAACAGGCAGCATCAACCAGGTTCAGCGCCGACTTGACGGAAAATCGAAAAAATCAGCTTCATGGAACTCCGCAGACTTGAAACTGTTCGAGTTTCCAGGATTCTGAAATTTTTATCCACAGTAATACCGTAAGTCGCACTCCGAGGAAACAGGCGGAACCTCTATTTCAAAGTACCAAAATCGACCTAGAAGAACCCCACAACTACACCTTTTTTAAGGTGATGCGCCTTCAGGGCTGCTTAGGGGAGCCGTAGGGAGGGCTAGGTGATCAATGGGGTCAATTTACGCTTCCTAGTTCCTTTAAACGGAAAGTGACATCCGGGACAATTCAAGTAAAGATCCCATAGCTTTAAATTTTTGACTGTATGGGCGAGATCCCAACCTGCAAGGGCTTCTACGCTTTGTCGATGTTCCTTTCCGGTAGTCCGTGTTTTGTAGGCCCACGTAGATTTTCAGAGCCACCCCGCGTACTAGCGTCTTTAATACGTTAAAATTCACATTTGGGATATACAAAGCAAAATTTTAGGTTCCGTGATCGGGTTTTGGTGTTGTGTAGGCCGTGCCCCGATATTTTTGGTCTTCGTGCGGGAAAAGTTTCGTAGTTGCTCAGCAGCTGTTGAAACATGGGATCAAGATCAGAATTTCAAGCTCTATCAAATTAGCTATTTAACTGGTCTTTCAAAATTCCAAAAGCACTTAAAAACGGTTCCTTGGTACTACACCTTGAATCCAACAACCACAACCCGCCCTGTACCCAAAATCCCTAAAATTTTGAGAGGCTGGCCGGGGTGTGATTCGTGGCGTTGCTGCGTAGGGTTTGTGGGGATTTACGAGTTTTGATAGGGATTCGGCCTGGTCGATTTCGCTCCGGCCAAAACGGCGCAATTTATAATGCCGTTGACACTTTTTGTGTGCGAAATTCGAGCTGGGGCTGGGGTGATAAGGGCCGGGGTTTTGACGCCTGGGGCCTATGGTATTTTTTTCAGTGAATTTTCTTTTAGCCGAATTAAATTTTAAAAGACTGTTGAGACAGAGTTGAGATTTAATGGATGGTTTTGAAGACCTTTATTGCTCTTTGCGTTTTTTGAAATGCTGTTTCATAGATTTCTTCGATAATTAGCGCACTATTTTCAGGTTTCTGCTCGTAAATTAAACCTGTCCACAGCCAATTGCTTCTAATATTCCGATTTTTCTCCCTTATCTACTACACGAATGCGATGACGGTCAGCTATAATCATCAAGTCGCCACCTCGAAGCCCTACTTAATTTTGAAGCTCTTGGGCAGGTAAAGCTACACTTTTTTTCGCTTAAGAACGCCCCGAAAAACATAGTTTGTCGATGTATAAAATAACCCATTTTTTAATAGCTTAAATGGTCACTTTCAGATGGAAAGGCTCCGTTTGGAAAGCCGTCTCGGTTGAGCTCGGCATTTGGCTGGTTCTGTACTACACAATTTTCTGCGTTTATCGTTATGCTTTTGGGCGCAGTGCACAACAGTAAGTAATTCGAGAGACTGAATCCACGAACAAAAGGTGCACTATAAATGCTCTTGATCGAATGAAGAATGATTAGTTATAATCAAAATTAACGTTATTTCTTTCAGAAGATTCGAAGACTTTATCCGCTTCTTCGATGCCTCGATGAAATATATTCCCCTGGACTTTCTACTATCATTCTTCGTTACAATTATTGTCAGCCGATGGTCGACGATTTTCCAGAATTTGGGCATGATTGATAAGTGGGATTTAATGGAAAAATTATAAAACGGCTTTAGAAATTCAATAAAAACTTTTACCCTTTTGCAGCATTGCCTTATTTACGTCAAATTTTGTGAAGGGGACCAGCGATCGGGCGCGGAATATCAGACGAAATATTGTTAGGTTTGTATTTTTTGTCCTTGTAATACATATAGATAAAATTCCGTATATTTTATGGTTTTTATAAAGTGATTTTAACCCAATTGTTTCTTTAGGTATTGCTGCCTCTCGCAGGCCATGGTTTTCCGAGACTTGAGCATGCAGGTTCGCAGGCGATTTCCGACTTTTGAAGCCCTAGTGGCTGGAGGTAAGCACCTATTTGTGTATTCGATATTAAGCTGCTTTTCATGTACTTCGTATCGACTTCTACCGTAGCTTTTAGGCTTCATGATGGAGCACGAGCTCGAGCAGTTCCACGCCGTTAAAAATCGATACGCCAAATATTGGGTGCCGCTGAACTGGGCGCTGACGCTGTGCAACGACGCGAAAAAGGAGGGGTTCATCGATTCGCATATCAACGAATATGCCATCACTCAGGTGAATATTGGGTTCTTTAGGATTTCCAGGGGGAAAGGATTTCCGGGGGGGGGACCAAATTTTTTCGGCCCGTGCCTAATTTTTTTCTAAATAGCGCATGCGTTTCTAAATGGTTTTTAACTATTCCTGAACATAAAAACTACCCACATTTCAATTAAAAAAAACTTAATTTTAGGTCGAAAAATCCTATAGAACCTATAAATCCTATAGAAGGTTTAGCGGGGGGGAGGGATAGACCCAAAATGACTAAATTTTCGACGTTTTCAAACATTTTCCTTACTTTTTTGAAAGGTTTTTCTACTTCAAATAGTTAAAATTTACTAAAAACAATGTGAAAACACTCTATATTTGATTACTAGGTCAACCGGGAAAACCCGGAAAAAATTTGGTTCCCCCCCCCGGAAATCCTAAAGAACCGAATATTGAACAGTAAATCGTGAAAAACATTAAAAGCATGGGCTTCTTCTCGTTTAAGTCTTTTTTAAGTAAAAAAATTCGTTAAAACTTCCAACGTCCAAGCTTTAAAATACTTTATTTCCAGGAAATCCGCCACTTCCGCACCGGGCTGTCGCTCGTTTGGCAACACGACTGGATTTCGTTGCCGATTCTGTATCCACAGGTAGACAAAAATTTGCCATTTAATATATCAATTTTTAAATATATTTTACTACCTTAAAATTAATAAAGCAACTTTTTTTTAGATCGTCTTCACAGCCACTCATGTCTACTTTCTCTTGGCACTGTTCTCCCGGCAGTTCATCGTCACGGCCGATCGGGTGCCTGGCGAGGTACGTTCTGATTAAAATTTTCAAGCTTACCCAAGATTTATATTGTTATTTAAGCCAAATATCGTTATTTTACGATATTAATCTCGGTAAAACCCGTAGAAAAGTCGGTCAAAACGAGCCAATAGTTTTTGGCAGGATTTAAATCGATCGGTGCACAAACACATCGATATTTTAGGTCGATATTCACTTCCCTGTGATGACCGTCTGCCAATTTATCTTCTACGTTGGCTGGATGAAGGTGGAAAAATTATTTATAAATTTTTGAACAACATTCTTAGGTCGCCATGGCTCTTCTAAATCCTTTCGGAGAAGACGACGATGATTACGATTGTAACTTCTTGTTGGACAGGAATTTGACGGTGAGGGAGAACGACAGAGAGAGAGAGAGAGAGAGAGAGAGAGAGAGTTAGAGCGAGAGTGATGGCGATAGATAGGGAGAGTGACAGAGAGATACAGAGAAAGATTTGCAGATGTCCCTAGGATGCCAAGATGCGCATCGTGACCCACCGGAAATGAAAAAGGATGCTTTCTGGAATATGGAACAGGTAAGTTGTAGCCCGTAGTCCGTAATTTTCTAAACCACACCTGTAGGCTCAACCCCTCTATTCCTGGCACTCTGCCCTCCGTCATATCAACTTCTTTATGGGTTCTGCGGCCCTGCAAGAGTACGTCAGAGTTTTTAGAGTTTTTGGCCAGCTAAGCGTCTAAAACTCAACGAAAAAGCTTTTCAGAAAAGAAGAGGGCGGCATGAAGGGACAGGAAATCACGATGGTGCCCCATCCCGTCAACGAGAAATACATGAATCGGTTAGGGTTTACAAAATTAAAATGTCGTAATTACCAATTAGAAATTCAAAACAATGATTTTTATATTGATCTAAACCAGTTTAAAAACGCAAAAATTGAAACTAAGTGTCTCGATCTGCAAATTTTAAAATCAAAAATTTTTTCTCAAAACTAAGCTTTGGCTTAAAAAATAACTTAAACCTAATGAAAGTTAGTTTAAAACGAGCCTAAAACCAGAAAATGTCGTGTTACCACTCATAGGCGTTTTTCAAGCCAAGTTCCGTTTCAGAAACGAGCCCGGAGAGCGGCGCCCAACCGTCGAGTAAGCGAAAATTTTCCACTATTTTCTGGCTTTCCGCTTCCGCTTTCCCCCAAAAATTTTAGGCCCTAAATTTTAGCTTGCGGATACGTCGTAACACTCCCAGACCTTCGATTTCTGATCGATCAGCCGGAGAAGATGAAGCCGGGCTGCTTCTCCTCGGGCGCTACAGTCCACGGTCGATAATTGGACTTTCCAGTCCCTTGAAAACCTACTTAGACCCACTACGAAACTTTCCTATCGCTATCGCTAGCACCTCTCTTACCCCAGCTTGCACTGCATGGCCATTTTTTTTGGTATTTTTGGCTTCGGCGACCTGTCCTGAATTTTGGAGCCTATAAATCCTCATTTTTTTTTTCGTGTTTTTAGCCCTCAAAGAACGGCCCAACTCGGCTCGATGCTGTCGACGAGTCTGGCGAATATTCGGAGGATGACAAAGTGGGTTGAATGGGACAAGCTAGTAGTGATTTTTGGGGTATTTTGTAATGTAAATGTCCAGTAAAATAGTCTAAAATTGAAAAAGGCATACTAGAAGTTTTTTTCCGTGCTTTGCAAAATTCGTCAAAAATTAGAAGAAGACGGGCATTAAGGACCATTGGAGGATCTCCCAGCCCTTGTTAGCTAGCAGTGATTATTGGGGAAATTTTATGGTTTGCGGGAAGGGATCGAAATTTTAGCTCACAAGGACAAGCTAGCAGTGGTTATTTGAGAATTCTACCATATCTGATTGAAATCCTGACCTCCTGAATCCTTGCCAAGACAAACAAATAAAAAGCGTTAAAGGATCTACGGGCTGTGTCCGGGAACCGTGAGATGGCATACTAGCAAAGATCTTTTGATACAAAATCCCTAAACACCATTTTTGTAAGGGAACACGGCAAGCCAGCAGTGATTATTGGAGAATTTCGGTTCCATAAAGTCATTAAAATTCGATTTCGTAATGGAAAACTAGCAAAATTCTCTTTGGAGCGCGTTTGTTATGATTTCCCAAAGCCCCCTTAGAAAACAAAGCTTTTTCAAGGCACCATGAAGAGCCAAATGTAAGCCTACCATATACATTTCAGTGCCTCCATGGGTTCTCGATCGCGGGTCAACTCGGCCGTAATTGTGGAAGAGGGCGCTGATCGGATTGCTAGACTACCGCCATTTGAGGTGAGAAAAATATCGAATTGGAATTTCATGTACCTTTTCTGCCTTTGATAATAGATATAAGAAAGCTTACACACTTTTTCAGTATCAAGAAAGTAAAAATAAAATTACATAAGAATCGTAGACACATTATTGCAACTTTTCGTGATTCATAGGGACCTAATAAAGATCGCACAATAATTTGGAACTTATAAGAATAAGAATAAATATAGCTAATAAGAACAGGTATATGAATGCCAAGTTTCTACGCCCTAAAAGATAAAATAAAGCTTTCTCCTTAGAACGGCCTCCGTCCCCGTGCCGCTTCAGAGCGACCACCTCAAATCAACATTTCCCGAGGGTCGCTTGATTCCGATCGATCCAATATAAGTGTACCCAAATTTTAGAGGATTTGCTTTGTCTTTTTTTTGTCCTGCGAATTTATGCGTGCTTGTCTTCTGTGTGAATGAATTAGTGCTTTCCTGAAAAAACCTTGCTAGCACCTCCAACTATCGTCAAAAAATCTCTGCTAGCTTGCCTAGGCGGCTAAATTGCCTGAAGTTGGTGCTGTTTCGGCGCTACCCTGCCCGATTAGTGGCGAGCCGGAAGTGAAAACCTGGAATCCGCACAAAATCTTCGGCAGCTTCTCATTTGCGTATCTTCGGCCGGAAGTGGAGATCGAGGGCTAGGGGTTGGAGCTTGGATGGCGCCTGGAACTTCGGCGTTTGTTGCCATTGCTCCGCCCAGTCGGCCCATTTCGTCCGAAAAACTTGCATAAATTCCCTCTTTTCCAAAAAGACTCTCTGCTAATTTGCTCAGAAAAACAGATTTTCAGCACAATTTTTTTGTCAGCCCGTTTTTATTTTTTTTTCCGCCACTTGTTAATACTGCATAGCGTATTTTCATCGTATTTTCAGTAAATTTTTTTTGCCAGGAAAGCAACATAATAATTAGCATTTCTTCCGCTTTGAAAAATGTAGTAAAAAATCGTAAATTTCGATGTTTTAAGGAAAATACCCGGTTTTTTGGTTGTTGTAGGTTGGGAAGCCCCTACCCCCCGCTAACAGAACAGGCTCCCTAAATTCTAATTGAGGTTTTGTCGTGCTCCTTTTGCTGTGAGAACCAGTCAAAAGCAGTTGGTTTGGTTCACTGTGTCTGTTTTGAGGGTGTGGCTGGCTGGTCTGCCAAAAGCTTCTCCTGCTCCCTGCTCAGTCTCTCTATACGGGGCCCGATAGGGATCTATTCCATGATGCCGAAGGGGAATATCCCTCCTCCTCTCCTGCTGCTGCACCTCATGCTCACCTCTCTCTCCCTTCTCAGTCCCTTTAATCTCCTCCTCCTCCTGGGGGCTCATCGAAACGAGAATTCCCGAGGCACCATCAAGATGCCGTCGGCACCCTCGGAACGAGGCTGGATTTGCCGCCGTCGAGCTGGGGATTTTTGATCCGTTTTTCGTCGCTGGACATTTGCGGCTGTACCTGGGGGGTTGCAACATTGATGTCTTGTCTTGCTATATTACCCGATTTTTTGTGATTTTCCAAATACTTATTTTTGGTCGTCTTACGCTAGTACTTCTCGATCTATTATTCCAGTTTTCATATTTAAAAGTTTTTAAAAATTTCATAAGATTCATAAAAGTTCATAAAATTTTAAGTTACTGGGGTGGGCAATTTTTTCGGTGTAATCTTTTTTGTTTTCCCTACTATTGAAAAAATTGCTTGTACTTGTCCTCCGAGCCAATCTAAGTTGCAATTATGCATAAAAAAGTAGAGTAAATCCTTACAGTATGTTCTGTTTTGCGGGTTGTTTAAGGCATTTTGGGCGTGCAATTGCAGGGTGTGTGTAAGCTAAATGTCGACGAAATTTTGTCATATTGGTGCTTACGTTTCCGTCCGGTTTCTTCAGGCTTCTTAGCTTTTCCGTTGAGCTCCTATCTACATTTGTTTTCAAAACTATCTCTAAATAGCTAAAAACAGATCAGGATTTTTTTGCCCTTGATTTCAAGGAGCTAGAAAGCAAAAAATCGTCTTGCAACGACTAGGCCGGAACGATTTCCCTAAGCGCCAAACCTACGTATTTTTCTTAAAACCCAGTTCTGGCTGCTTTCCGTCAAGCCACCGTGGATTTTGTCAGTACGCAAGTGTACGCTTTGATAGCCTTCGCTTAACCCGGGAATTACGTAGCCTCTCTCTCTCTCGCTCTCACGCCCTCTCTCACTCTCTCTCTCACTCTCTCTCTCTCTCTCTCTCTCTCTCTCTCGCTCTAATTTTTCTTCAACTTTTTAGCTGGCTTCCCTGCCGATCTGCGAAGGTGATGAGGCGGAATGCCCCCCCTAGTACATCGTGGGGCTTGTGTGACTACGATGGTCCGTGGTGGAGCACTACTTGGGAGGAGGCTCGGGCACTTGGTACCCACCAAAAATATATAACACGTCTTTCGCCTTCACATACACTAATTTTCTAAGATTTTGCACATGCCTTTCAGCATTTTAAATTTAAATTTGGAATTTTCGGAACACCAATGAGGGCGTAAAACAGCCAAAATCAATAGAAAAACCAGGGTTGAAAAGCCGCTTCGCGACTTTTCAACCCTGGCCCCGTCTCGGACCCCATACTATTCTGCCCTTTGCATAATTGTCCTCCATTCAGAAGACAAAAAAAAAAGAAAAACAACCCTTTCTGCCTCTTTATATAGGCGACGGCCCACTTCCGGTCTATGCTAATTGTTCCTAACAAACAGGTTTTTACAAAAACCTAAATTTAATAGCGAAAATGGCTAATTTTTAAAAATCTGATATGTGTGCAGTGATCCCTAGGCCATTACGCACCTAATGACGTATCATACGTAGCTTAATACCCGTCCCTTCTTGAGATATCCTCCGGACAGACAGACGGAAGTGTATGCAAAGTGGCACACACACACACAAACACACAAACACTATTTTTTTATATATAGTAGGATTAAAAATATTGCTAAACAATTTAAATTTTTTTTACAACGTGAAAAAGTTAAAAATGCACCATTTTAATAACTTAGATGCCTAAAAACCATTTTAATATATTCTTCAGGCTTCTCGAAGTGCACGAACCTATTCTGCCAATTCTTTGTCAACAAGATTCTACCCTACCTCCTGATCGCGTTATTAATTCTGAAGGTGGAACGCCACTATTTTGCCCCCAGGATGGAATATCCGTTTTTAAAAGGTGACCCATAATCTAGAGAATTAAAAAAACTTGCATTTAGTTGACAACACTTCACGAGTAGACCTGGGTTTCCGATTTCGACAATCGCAACGACATGAAAATTGCGGACCGAATACTACGCTTTTCATCGGTAAGGGACGCATCGTCCTGTACCTTAGCGCTAGCGTAGCGTAGCCTATTCTAGTTTACCGTATCATCCCGTACCGTACGAATGATTTTTTGATGATTTTAAATCGATGCAAACTTTATTAATATCAAAATACGCAGTTTTAGGAGTCATCTCCCGCCCCACCGAATTTGATCTTCGGGAAAGTGTGCGGAATAGCTGGGCAAAGAAGGAAAATTTTGATTCGAACTTCACGAGAGTCGAATTTTTCGTCGGGAAGCCGGTAAGTGATCGGGTTTTAAAGGGCTAGTTCAACTTTTGGAGTTTGGGCTGACCTTGGGAAACTATGGACGTAGGCACAGTGCGCCCGAACAGTCGCCCATTACGACAGCTATTAGAGATCGGAGAAACGAGAAAGGCGCAGACACAAAAACGCAGAGAGGGTTCCCCTCCTGGCCACGGAAATGTTTTTGTTTTATTGGCTGAACTAGCCGTTTAAAGAGAGCGGAAAGCCCCAAAATCGGCCCTAGCATCGACTGGCTAGGTACTGACTGGACTGGGTAGACAAGTACGCGGTATACGCTTGAAATGACAAATCAATTTTTGCAAACCAATCTATCCGATGGAAGGGGTAGATTCTAAGGCTGACTAGTTCCTTGAATAATCGATTTCCTTTAGAAAGACTGGGAAATCGAGCGTCTCCACGCCGAGATGTGGCAGCACGGCGATATATCAATTGTAGCGTTGTAGAGCTTTAAAAATTCGTTCAAATTTTTTGAATCCTTATTGCTGTTTAGATCGACATGGAGGAGGACTACTACGCGTTGCCACAAAAGACGCTTGGGCTGCTAATGTACAAAGAGCAGCAGTGGGTTTCGGAATAGCAAAATTCAATATTTCGTACAAATTCCCCAAATGAACGCTGCTAGTCTGCTCTCCCATTCTTTCACTTACTTTTCCAAGTATCTCTGCTAGCTAGCCCTCCTTAGATCTTTGAAATTCTCCAAGAATCTCTGCCAGGCTGCCCGAAGGGACTTTCTCAAATATTGTTGCGAGCTCGCGCTCCCGTCTGATGATTCCTGAAGGATATTTGCGGGCTTGCACTATTCGGATTACTCCAAGAACATCTGCTAGCCTGCTCATGATTTTTTTAAAGGAATTGTTGGAATCCTTTACACGCTTAAAAAATAAATTCTAGATGCCCTCGAGCGCGTTGCCTAATAAAATCAGACAGCGACAACGTGCTGAATGTGCCCGCTTACGAGAGGTTGTGTAATGAGACGAGTATGTTGCAATTTACTCTTGATTTTATAACATTTACTATGCTTATTAAGGGTTTCTTAAAGGGGCTCCGAACTGCCAAATCAAAGCCCTTTTGGGAGGGCTCTTTGATTTCTGGCAAATTGCCAGCGGGCGCTGCGGGACGAGAGCCCTCACTCTATCGATTTTTGCGCGCGGCTGTTTTTGCCCGGTTTCTTTGTGAAAACACTATAATTCGCGCATTCTGAGCCCATTTTTGAAATCCTCACTCAATTTTAAATAGTTTTGGTGTTTTAATCATCAAATTTGGCCCAGAAACAGCCGAGAACGCGGTTTCGAGGTGACAACAGGCAATTTCAAATTTGCGAGCTTCCCGCGCCGCTAGGTGTACGGAGGCCTCCGACGTACAGGGCTTCGATTTTTGGGACGTCACTCAATTTTTGGCATTTCGTAGCCCCTTTAAGCTTTTGCCAAAAATAGCGCATTTATCCTTGGCGTCCAAGCTGGTTTCTAGCACCGGAATCGAAGCGTATCTACGGAGCCTGCTCGGTAAAGACGAAGGTGCAACGGCATGGGAAATGGAGTATTCCGAGATGGTTACTGCCGCAGAAAACTTTTCCGCAGTAAGTGCCTGGCCAGGAGTGTGTCTGTAGCATCTGTCAGATGAAAGGTATCGATTTTCTTCAGGTATTGTTCCACCGGCATCTACATGTTTGCCGGTAACTCAACGGTCAACGACATTTTGGAAAGGGTATTTCTTAGCAGTTTTTAGATGAGAATGTCCTTTTGAATGCTACTGCTATTGAAAAAAAGTTCATTTTGAGCTTGTACAGACCCGACCCATACCGAAAAAAATTTAGGTTGGGGTCTCAAAATACTCAAGGTCCGCCAACTACCGTAAACTGCCCGAGGACGTGCTGTTCAGCGGAATTTTTCCGGAGCAACTAGGAATTTCGAGGGTTCGTAAATTTTAATTATTTATAAATTTAAAATGATAAATAAATGTGCAACTAGTCTTCGTAAATTTAAGAAAATTAATTTTTAATAAATTTAAAACAGAGTTTAGTCAATTTAAAATACATTTTACTGCATTTATAAATTGCGATCAATGACAATCAAATTCGTAAGTTTTGCGCCGAGTTCTTCTTTCTTCGCAAAAATTCACGAATTTTGAGATCAAACCGCCCGACGGGCTTTTGCGCTTTTAGTGCGCGCGATCCGAGGCCGGAACTTCTTCTGGAGATCGCCCCCAGATTGCATGCAAATTTCGGAAAATTTGTGCCGTCCGATGGCCAGGCGGAAAAGTTCTTTTGGTGGCGGCGGGCACCCGGAAATTTGACACGAAATCTGGGCTTCCGATCTTTTTGGGGAACTTGGCCGACAGGTGAAAATGAATAAAAGGGAAAGGACACAAAATTAGCATGCTGGCATCATCAGAACATCAGAGAAAGTTTTTGACCATTGCCTACGTGAAAACTTTAGAATTTTGAATACAAAATACATCGATAACGACATTTTTTGTTTACAAATTCCTTATTTTTCATTTTAACATTGCTTGAAAAGTCCCTTCGTCGGTTTTAGGCTTGCAATAAAGTAAATTTTTGATTAAAAAGTTTATTAATATACTTAATATTACTAGGTGGACCTAGACTTTAAAAAAAGGTAGGTTTTCCCTTGATAAAACTTGCGTCCTGCCCCTCCCCCGATAAGCACAAGAATCAAAAATCTGATAAAAGCTGAGAAAGCTCATTCTTCCGAATATCATTTTCAGGTAACAATCCCCGGCGTGTCGTTCAATTCCACCGTCCTCACCGGCTGTGAGAATGGGACTACGCTGGTGTACAGCTTACACATGACGTCGAGCAAGGATCCGGCCGAACATCTGACATGGATAAGGAACACGGCAGCCGCCAAATGCTTCGATTTGAACCTCGCAAAGAAGAAGCAGAATTCTGAGGAGGAATCTGAAGAAGCGGAAGAGCCGGAATAAGCTGTAGAAAACTCATAGAATTGTCATAGAAATCATAGAAAATTCATAGAAAAATCATCTTCTGCAAATTTAAAAATTTAAGCTAATTTAAAGCAAATTTTAGGACCGTAAACAAATTTTGAAGCTTCTAATTTTTGTCGTGATCGCTTTCTCCTTTATCAGCAATCAGCTTTTCCCAAAAATTTGCATACCTCGCATTAGAATTTGCCCTTATTCGTTTTTATCTTTTTTTACTTTTTTGCACAGTCCTCGATTTGATACCGGTCTCATTTGCATTGTCACATATCGTATTGTTTATTTTTTATAGAAGCGGTTTCAATAAATATTTTTTTTGATGCAGTTAGGAGCAAAAAAATACGCAAAATGCGATATAATTGGTCTCACTCACTCTCAGTCACTCTCTCTCTCTCTCTCTCTCTCTCTCTCTCTCTCTCTCTCTCTCTCTTTCTATCTCGCTCTCTCTTTCCCTCCTCTCTCTCTCTCTCTCTCTCTCTCTCTCTCTCTCTCTCTCTTTCTATCTCTCCTCTTCCGAAATGTACCAAAATGCAGAGATCGAAACCGCTGATGGGCTTTTGTGCTTTTCGTGCGCGACTTGACCGGCAGAAGATCGCCCCCAGATTAAATGCAAATTTCCAAAATTCATGCCGTGCGAAGCTTAAAGCGGCTCTGGCAGCACACCGATGACGGCATTTTGGGGGCCGGGCAGAGACGCAGAGTTCTGTCTGCGTCTCTCCTCTGGGCGCGCTCTTTCTCTCCCTGCCGCGACGCACCCGACCGCGACGCTTCCACGAGTCGTGGAAAAACGAGCCTGCTGCCAGAGCCCCTTTAAGTTCGTCTGGCACCCGGCCGCGTGAACTTGGAAATTTCATCAACAAAGAGCTTCCTTGGCAACTGAAATACGAAAACGAATAAACTAAAAAGGACAGATCAAAAACTTAATTTTTATTTTAAAAGTACTAGTCAGAACATCATATTAAAATCCCAAAAAAATCGCAAAATAATTTTAAAAATCCGGGATTTTAAAAATCTGATTCTGGGAGTAGTTCGTTGCCTTGCGGGTCCCTTTAAAATATAACCTGATTCTCAGGAACGGCGGATTTTAAAGAGACTGACAAGTTCAACGCTCGGTACGTCTCGCACCAGTATCACCATCACTTAATCTTGCTCTCTTTCGCTGTCTCTCTCTCGCTCTCTCTCTCTCTCTCTATCTCCTTCTCTTCCAACCTTTGCCCCTTAAACTTTACCCTCCCGGCAACTTTCCGTCAATTTCCAATTGACACGCATGGTTTCGCGTGGAGATAAGCCCTGCAAAAAAATAATTACTTTTTAATGGCGGGGTGAAACCAAAGACACCGCCAAGATACAAGCTACGGCCAGATCTTTGGCACGCTGGAAAATGATGCTAAAAATTCTTCTAATTTTTGCCTATTTTATGAGGATTACTGTAGCCGCCGACTGCGCGGAGTTCAAAACGTGTTCAAGTTGCGTGAACGGGACTGCGGACTGCGGGTTTGATTTCAAAAATTTTAATTTTAAGAAAAAATCTTGTAGATGGTGCTTGGAAGAGAAAAAATGCTCGACGTCGACCGATTGTAAAACGGTGTATTTTCTAAAGGTTCGTTAGGAGAGAGTACATCTTTTGTAAGAAAATGACTGAAAAACCGATTCTTTGGCATTATCGGGGGTTTAGTGTAATTTTTGTCCAAAAATGCCTAGTAAAATACGTAACAGTAAGTATTTTCATAGTGTTTTTAGGAATTTTTCTAGTATACTTATTTCTACAATACTTCAAGTGGAAACATTGTCCAAAAAATGAAAAAATTAAAAATTCGTATTTTCGGGCGAAAAATCGATTTTTTTGCATTTTTGTAATAAAAAAATTGTAAGATTTTGCTTTTAAGGCTCGCAGAAACCGCTTAGAAATTTTTACGTAATTTTATGAAAAAAATTGTATGCCAGAAAAAAAATTTTTTTGCATGTGTCCTGAAATTACAAAGTCTATCATTTTAAAATGCGTAAAAATTATTGTTTTGGCGTTCTGTTTTTAAAGTGTTTATATCAACTTTTTGTCCACAATTACCGGTGATTCCTTTAAAAACCCGTAAAAATTCCAGGACGAACCAAGCAACTGTCCCCGGCAGCCCGACCCAAATTTCCCGTTCAACGAGACCTTGGCCCGGAATTGGGTCCTACCGCTCTGTGCTGCTGCCTACGGCACCGAACCGAATGTTTGCATACAGTAAGCGGTCTCTATCTAACGCTCACTCGCCCGTCCTCTCTCTCTCTCTCTCTCTCTCTCTCTCTCTCTCTCTCTCTCTCTGACACTCTCTCGCTCTCGCTCTCTTTCTCTCTGTCTCTCTCTTTCTCGCTCTCTCCACCTCTCTCACTCTCGCTCTCTCTCTTGCTCGCTGGCCCTCGCTTTCGAAAATTATTCTTTCAGAAAGCACGTACCGACCGCTACCTACTACGATCGCGTCGAAGTGGTGTGTGACGAGTTCAAGAAGCTGGGTAGGTTTAAAAATTCTAAAACGCGTCCAGCCTACCGTAATCTACTAATATGGTACATTTTAGGAGACAACTGCTCAGCTTACACCTCTTACGACAAATCCTTGCAACAAATTATCGTAACCTTCCGCGGATCGGCCGGCAAATACGAGATGTTCATCGAGTTTTTGAGCATCGTGAAGTACGTATTTAGGTGTAGTTTGTAATTTTAGGGCTCCATAACTCAGGAAACTATAAATTCCCCTTTTTACAATAACCAAGTACGGTGTAGCATCTAAAGGGAATAGCAAGGCAAAATCCATAGAAACCAACTTTTAATTCCTGATCCCTTTAAAACGCCCATTTTAGCCATAAAGACGACTTTTTCGGCACGGGCAAAGTGTACGACTACTTCCACACGGCATTCCTCAAAATCTGGCAACCACAACTGCAGACTCAATTCCGCGCACTAAGGAAGGTGTTTCCCGGGTATAAAGTGCTGGTGGGTTACGGTATTTAAATTTTTAAAGTACTGTATTTTGATTAAGTTTTTGGTGTTTTACATTTTAAAGTGTATTCTAGGTGATTGGCCACTCTCTTGGTGGGGCCTTGGCAGCGCTGGGAGCCGCTTATATTGCAAAAGTTGAGGGAGTACCCGGAAAGGATATAAGGTAAGTGATAGAGAGAGTGATAGAGAGAGTGACAGAGAGAGAGTGAGAGAGCGAGTGAGCGAGAGACGCGCTGCTTAATAATCTGTTTTTCTTCAGGCTTATCACATTCGGTGAGCCGCGTGTTGGCGATAAGAATTTTGCCGATTATTTGGAGACTACGGTAAGATTTTCCATGTTTTAAAAGGCGCTGCTCTCAGATTCCAAGCTCCTATCGAGTCGTGCACCAACTCGACCCGATTCCCCGCCTCCCACCCAAGCTATCCATTTTCGACATGGTGCACCACCGGACGGAATTGTGGTAAGAAATGAAATTAACTAATATACAACTTAATTGGATTAATTCAAGCAATTATGACTAACATATTCATTAAAAGGTTTAATTTTAATTCTAACTAAATTTTTAAGGTATCAAAACGACATGACACCCGGAAAGAAATATGATATTTGCCCGTATCAGGATTTGGATGGGACATGCGCAAATACAAAGCAGGCATGGGTGTTTGACGTAAGTGTTATAATTAGTGTGCCATTTCCACAGACTACGGTAACTAGGCCACCTTTTAGGATCACACCTCCTACTACCATCCGCCGGCGGCTATTCCCGCTTGGGGAAGGGGAGGATGTTAGCGAGACTTTCGTGGAATGTATAAAGTTTTGAAAATCAAATGGTGCTTTTGTTACAAATTATTTGTATTTATTGACATACAAGTTAACGTTTTACAGTGTGTGCCATAATGATAGGGGAATGGAGTTTTTGGCCGTTTTCTCCACGGTCTTGCATGTACCCGTACAAACCGAATAGTAGGTTTTGTGGTCCGGAAAAATGCGCATCTTTTGGTCTACTTGAAGTGCTTTTACGATGCAGGATCACGTTTTTATACGGAATTGAATCTAAATAGGCGAAAAACACAAGTGACAAAATGATAGGGGAATCATTAACATAGCATTTCCATCAACTTTCTGTATGAATAGTGGATGCTAATTAGATGCAAATTTTGGCTGGCTGTTTCCGGATGGCGTTTCGGTCAGAAAATGCTATCTTTGCATCATTCTCTCCTATGAATCTTCAATTAAAATCACTTAGCATCCACTATTCATTCAGAAAGTTGATGGAAATGATATGTTAATGATTCCCCTATCATTTTGTCACTTGTGTTTTTCGCCTATTTAGATTCAATTCCGTATAAAAACGTGATCCTGCATCGTAAAAGCACTTCAAGTAGACCAAAAGATGCGCATTTTTCCGGACCACAAAACCTACTATTCGGTTTGTACGGGTACATGCAAGACCGCGGAGAAAACGGCCAAAAACTTCATTCCCCTATCATTATGGCACACACTGTAGTATATATGCCATCATCTGGCACACATTTAATTGAGTTTACTACGCGCATTTTCGTGGATGTGGCGATTTTTCCTTTTTCCAATGAACCTTCGGTACTGGGCTGTTAGCGTAGGGGGCGGGGGGGGGAGTGGAGTTTTTTAGCAGCGGGAAGTTAATTTTCGTTTTATTTGCCTTTCACAATAAATAGTTTTTTACAACGTATTTGATAGCCTTAAATTGCCTGGACATTAAGAGAAGACGTTAAGTCTAAATTAACCACTTTTTTCGGGATCTAAAACATCTAAAATCAACCTAAATTAGAATTTTTTTCGAAAATTTGAAGAATTGAGCTTTTCTATCATTTTTCATACATTTCTGCCCCAGAATGGATTCGAAGACCCTCTCACTCTCTCTCTCTCTCTCTCTCTCTCTCTCTCTCTCTCTCTCTCGCTCTCTCTCGCTCTCTCTCTCTCGCTGTCTCTCACTCGCTGTCTCCTCGACATTCCGATGCAGTACGAGAAACGAAACACTCCAAATGACACCTCTCCTGTTCACACATCACAAACAGAGAGTTTTCTCTCAGTCCCTCATAATTTTCGTCTAGCGTAAAATGTCTACAGGAACATTCCGGAAGTCTCGATTTTCGTCAGTCCTCTCTGGAAGCCCATTAAACCATGTCGTCAAATTGTCAGTGTCCCTCTATTTCCCAGCCGTAAAGTACGAGACAATCCGAGGGTTATGACGATCTATATGTTGCGGAAAAAGCGAAGGGAGAGTCATTTACATTTCCTCCCTATAGACAACGACAGTCTATGAAATAGAGGTCGCCGCGGGACAAGAATCAAGCTGGTTATGGTAGGTAATAGGGGCTTTTAGGGAAAGCAATCTAGCAGAGACTATTTTGGAAGGGAGAATTAGCTGAAAGGCGGTTTTGCATTATCGGGAGTGTTATTATACGTCTTAATTTATTTGGATCTTTTGCATTATCCAGAGGTCCGGAGGAATTCGGGCAATATATCTTAATTTATTCGGATCTTTTGGAATATCGGGGAGGGGGAACGCCGATAAACATAATAGTAAGTATTTTAACAGCGTTTTTTGTATAATTTAACTATATTTTAAGCGGAAAAAACTAACTAACTAGCTAAAAATACATTGACAAATTTCCGAAATTCTAAATTTCTGCACAAAATCGATTTTTTTGTATATTTTTCAAATTAGAATTCTAGGGGTTTTGCGTCTAAAATACTAAAGACGGTGGGGAAACACTTCCATTATTTATATTAAAAACTGCATTTTAAAAAGAATTGATTGGCTTCGAAAAAGGCTATTTTGAAGCGCAGGTGGGATAGCAGAGACTGTTTGGGAAACCCGACGGAAATCGGTAAAATTTCAGATGTCCAATCGTCTGTTAATATTCGGCCTCCTGCTGCTATCCACGCAGCTTCTCCATCTTGCCAATGCCTCAGAAGCCACCATCGATATCACGATCAGTGCCGAGGATCTGGAGGACGATTCGGAAGAATCGAAAGAAGATATTAGCGACCCTTTCATGCCCGATGAGAAGGCTGATATCGAATTTAGCAATGTAAGGGGTTTTTGCCTTCAGCGATTCTTTAAAAAGGAATATACTATACTTTGCGCTACGCTTATGGCCTACGTTACGCCACAAACGCTACGTACGCTTACGCTCACTTAAGCTACGCTTCAGTACTGGTCTTGTTCCAGAATTGCACGGCGATGACGAAGGCCAACGACAAGGAGATCTGCCAGATGATCCAGCGGTGGTCTAAGCAAGTCCATGTAGGTTTTTCTTCATTTTTTCAGTTTCGGTCTCTCTCCCTCTGTCTCTTCTCTCTCGCTCTCTCTCTCTCTCTCTCTCTCTCTCTCTCTCTCTACAACTACGCGACGTTCCAAATTCCGCTCCCCTGCGTCATTTAGCGCCTCTCGTACATCGCTATTGAGACCTAGTCGGAGAAAGGATCGATCGTATTTCTCAGTCTCTTTAACAAAAGATTATTCTAATTTTAAGCATATGGATTCCAGAAAGAAGTAGTCAAACGCAAGGAGGAGTGCAACAACCGTGGGATGGGTATCAACCAAGTGATCATCGGAGTGAAAAAGAAGACGGTATGTCTTACCTCCTTCTTGTCTTCCGAAAGATAAAAAATGCTTTAACTATCGAATTCCAGGCGCAGGCTGTAAACACCACGGCGAACGGTCGATTCGGGTTGGCTCTGGATCGCGATGCCGCTATTCAGTATGCAAATTATGGGATATTAGGCCTTAAAATTGAATCTAAACGCCAGCTACTTAAAAATTCGGTGTGAAAAGTGCTTTTTCGACTATTCAAAGCTTAATCAAAAATTTTCAGGGCGCATTGCAACACTCGGCGTGCCCCCAGGCAACAACTCATCCAGGAAAAGCACGAAATCAGGGCGAAGCGGCAAAGGTTGAACCAGGGACCCATGGGGATTACGGTAATGGAACTTTTCAGATCCACCCCTTTGTAAAAGTATTTTTACATTGTATATTTGTATTCTAAATTCGTTTATAAATTTAGGGATTTTAATTTAGGAGCTCCGCGGCTACGTCGCTGCGCGAAAAGACGCGAAACACGCGGCGGCAAACGCGACGCACGCGCTGCAAGCAGCCCAGCAGCAGCTGAAGACGCTCGTTGGTACGTGGAATTTTGAAAGGGATTGGCAAGGCATGTATATGGATTTTGGCTATGGCTTCCTTAAGAATTTTAGCGCGCAACCCAAAAAAAGGTAAAAATGACAAAAAATTCCCAAATATTCTCTGCTAGCTTGCGGTGATAAGCTAATGGACAAAATTTATACATTATACAGGGTGTCCCATAAAAAAGCACCCCTCCGGCATTTTGCCATATTACATCCGATCGGTCCCAAATTTGGGCCAGAGGTGTATCAGTCCCTAAATAACCACAATCCTGAGTTATAGCCCGCCAGCTACAGTAATTTTCGAGATACATCAAAAATAAATTTTATAATCCGTTTTTCATAAGGTTTTTGTCGGAATCCACCATCCGAATATTAAGTGAAAATGAAGCGGCAAGCGTTCTTTACCCTTAGAAATTTTTTCCTGATAAAATTCATCAAATAACCGTTGATTGAACAATTTTTGTAACCCAAAGTCACCCCCGATATTAAGCGAAATTAGGGATTCGCAGCTGGAAGTGGATGCAAATCGATGCAAAGTCCAAAAAGACAGCCGAAAAAACTGTTAAGAACCGCGTAAAAACCATTATTTTGGCGATATCTCAAAAACTATTGTAGCTGGCGGGCTATAACTCAGGATTGTGGTTATTTATGGTCGGATACACCCTTGTGCAAAGTATGGGACCGATTGGATGTAAGGCGGCGAAATGCCAGAGGGGTGCTTTTTTTTGAGACACCCTGTACATACCTTGTCTCTTAAATTTGTTTAATCGGACTTGTACTTTATCATAATTACATTTTTATGTTTCTAGACAGCAAAGCCCCGAAAGTCCAGCTGGATGCTCAGCGTAAATTGGTCAACCAAGCACGATCAAGAAACCAGCGGGCCATCAAGAAACTGCAGGTATCTTGCAAAATGCAATTTTTCTATGTGCTTTTTTTGCATTTTAGAACGCTATCAACGAGCACAAGATTGCGAAGCGCCGGTTCGTGACGCTGCACCCGAAAAATGGTAATGAACAAGCTCACTTTTCCATTTTTTAATACGGTAATCCAAAAACGTGATTTCCGGATGTACGAATTCCTTACGAGACCTATAATATAAAAAGTTTTGAACGTATTTTCCGCTTCTTAACTTAATTTCGTTTTACGTATGTTTTGCAGCCGCCGTCCTGGCCGCCAAGCAAAAACTGGAGCAGCAGCCGAAGAAGGCCGGGAAAGTTGGAGGAGCTGTCCTGAAGCCGATTCTCGCCGCAAGACCACCTGGTAATTCCTCTGCCTGCTTAGTTAATCAATATTGATTTAGCTTAAAAGTGGAAGTACTGAAGAACAGCCGAATCTTTTTAAACGCAGTAAAATAGGGTCTGAATAATCTCATTTCATAGGAAAACCCCGTGGAAAGCGAGCTGCCAACAATTCCACGACGCTCCGCGCTGACGGAAAGGGAGTGGACGCGAAGGCGACGAGCTATGAAGAGTGCATGACCATCGCTTGTCTATGCAAATTTTGGAATGGTGGGCGTTCGAAGAAAAGGGCAAGCTAGCAGAGATCGTTGAGGATACATGGCATCCTAGCAAATACCACTTGCGTATCAAAAAAACTGCTTCAGGCACCGCTTCTCAAAACTGCACCTACAAGGGGGTACCATTGACGAAGGTCAGTTTTTTGTAGTCGATATTCGATATAAAGTAGCTAAACAAAAGCAAAATCTGCGTTTTTAGTCAATCCGCAAGGAGTACCACATGCTGACCGACTCGGAGCGGCAACGTTACCACGCCGCACTCACCAAGCTGAAGGAGAAGGGCGTCTATGATGTTTTTGGTAGGCACTAGGGCTGGTTTAGGCTTAGGTTTGGCTTAGGCTTGGTAGACTTACCCTTTTAAGCCACTTTCCACGCCGCGGCGGCCCACGCCGTCAACGCGCATAACGGCCCCGCTTTTCTGCTATGGCACAGAGAACTGTTGAAGCGGTAAGTGAGAAAGAAAGAGAGAGCGAGAGCGAACCAGAGAGAGAGAGGGAGAGATCAAATTCGTCACAATTTCAGTTACGAGCTCGAGCTCCGCAAAATTGACCCGCTCGTCGGCCTCCCCTACTGGCTGAGCAGCGTCAACAACTACGCCCCGAAACAGGGCGAAATTGTGTGGCGCTCGCAGAAGCAGATCACGTTTAGGTAGGAGAGAGAGAGAGTGAGAGAGAGAGAGAGAGAGAGAGAGAGAGAGAGAGAGAGAGAGAGGAGAGTTAGTAACGCGTTTAGCGACAACTTCATGGGCACCCCAGTGGGAGCGATCACGGCTGGACCCGCGGCTGGCTGGAATAACACGGCTAAAGTAAGTTAATGTTAACGTTGTATTCAAATTTTTCGTAGAATTATGGTGTCTGGAAAATATAGTGCTTAATGCCGTAATTTCAGTTATTTTCAGACCGGTCCTCTCACCCGAAACGTCGGTCGTAGTCTCGTGTACTACGTCACCACTACCGTCTCGCAGATCATGAAATACGCCTCGGATTACACGTACATCTTCCGGGTTTTGGACCCGATTAAGGTGAGTTTGTCCTTTGGAATTTCTAAAAAGTGAGAGAGACAGAGAGCGTGCGAGAGAGAGCGAGAGAGAGAAAGAGAGAGTGACTACGGCCTATGCTCAATTTCAGACATGTACCGTAGATTGGTTCAAGTCCCCGGACCCGAGCCTTGAGTTGTACCACGGATATGCTCATACCAGCGTTGGAGGTGGTGTTCTGAAACTTGACAGAGCCAGAGAGAGAGAGAGAGAGAGAGAGAGAGAGAGAGGGAGTTAGTGAGAGAGAGACTCAGAGCGAGCAAGACAGTGAGAGGGACTGAGAAAGCGAGAGATAGATGGTATTTTTTTTCAGGTGATATGGGCGATACCCCAACAGCCGGTGCCGATCCTTTATTCTTCATGCATCACGCGGTCTACGACCAGATTTTTGAGATGTGGCGTCAAAAGTGGCAGGTCAGAGAGCGACTTCTCTCAATCCGCTGTCTCGCTCTCTCTCTCTCTCTCTCCCTCCTCTCTCTCTCTCTCTCTCTCTCTCTCTGTCTCTGTCTCTCTCTACAAAATCAACGTTACAGGATCGTGATGAGCGTGAAACACAGTACCCCTCGGATGACATTATATCTGGATGCGTATCTTCCACCCATTCTGGTGGAGCCGCGTTGGAGCCGTTTACAAATCTTAGGTATGGAGAAAAAAAGAGAGCGAGAGATAGAGAGAGAGGAGAGAAATAGAGAGAGAGAGAGAGAGAGAGAGAGAGAGAGAGAGAGCGAAAAGATCGAGAAATCTCTAGGGTTATCGACGCGCTCTCCAACCTCTACACCGACGAGCTCTACGAATACGGGACACCACCAAGCTGTACGGCGGCCAAGCCAGATTGTGGCAGTCCGTAAGCCTAGTTTTGCTTGTATTACTTTGGATTATAAAAAAATAGACAAATGAGTAGCTTATCATGCTTCCTAAAAACCTAATCCTAGATACTTGTTCTGCTCGTTGAGCAACGTCTCGTGGTGGGAGACGGCCGACTCGATGGTCAAGTGCATGGCCAAGATATTGCCAGGCGGATCGGTAATTCAATGACTTAATTGGATGAACAACTCCGTGTAGTGCGGCGACTTCGTGAAGGGCGAGAGCCCGTGCTACCAGGGGAAATGCGTCAATGGGAATTGTGTCGTAGGTTTTGAGTCTTATTGTTGATTTTCAAATGGCAATTAAGACTTACTAAAATCATAAGGGTATTTTAGGCAGTATAAAAGCTACGAACTGCTCCTCTTCCCGCCCGACTCCAAACTCCAACTATCGAATAAAGCTTCTGACGTTGTTACTCTGCCATTTTTATCGCATCCGATCAGACGACCAAGCTCCCACAGTCGTAAATTTCGGGATTCAGATTCCGTTTGACTCCTTTTTATGTTGCGGAAAACAGCATACGGGAATTTCTGAGCAACTCGGCATTCTAATACTTTTTCGAGCAGGAAAATTGGATGTGATTCCATTCAAAGAGCTAGAAAAATTTCTGGGTTTACGCTGAAATGATACCTCGTCATACTGGATTATTATTATTGACATTTTCGGCTTTTCTGGCCAATGGACTTGGGATTAACGAGGCTGAGTTGGATCTGGGAATTGATGGAGATGACGTGCAGGACATTGAAATACCCGATTCTTCCGACGAAAAAGAGGGTTTGGATCCGGAGCTACCGGACGAGAAGCCGGACGTCAAATTTGCCACAGTAAGCAAATAAAGCGGGGTCCAATGTTAAAATACCTAGCAACCAGGGCTGTTCACGGACGGGCCGGGCCAGCCCGGGACGGGCCGGACGGGCTGATTACCCAATTTGCATAAAATTAGCGGACGGGCTGGGACGGGCTGGGGAGCGGGCTGGACGGGCCGGGCTGAGCGGGCTGGAGCGGGCTGGGGTTATGCAAATCTGCTTTGTTAATCATCCCGGGTTAAATTAACACAGAGAAGGCAATGTGATCAGATGGCGTTTTATGCCCTTGTTTAATAAAGATTTATGGGATGTTTATTGTTTTCAGGTTAGCAGGACTCTCATTTTGGTGTTGTGGGGGGAGAGAGCCAAGTTTTATTTTTATTTTTATTTCATTGATCTGTTAAAGATACAGGTGTATTGTTACACTAATTTTAGTAGTTTTTGATTGCTCAAACTAACAACAACAATCGTACAAATTTTTGAAAATTGGCTAATTTAGACTTTTTTGGTAATTTTTCATAGTTTTTGACCAAAATAAATCAAAAATTTGCGCAAATTTGATAATTTTTTGCCGCAGGTTTATATTTAGAAAGTGTACAATACTATGAAAATAGTTTCTATTTCCCCGCGCTAGGCTCTTGCCTCATCCTTGGATGTAATTAACATAGCAGATTTGCATAACCCCAGCCCGCTCCAGCCCGCTCCAGCCCGCTCAGCCCGGCCCGTCCAGCCCGCTCCCCAGCCCGTCCCAGCCCGTCCGCTAATTTTATGCAAATTGGGTCGTCAGCCCGTCCGGCCCGTCCGGCCCCGGACGCCCGCGGGCCGGGCTCGAAATGACCAACCCTGCTAGCAACTCATACGAAATTCTATTTTGATTTTGGAAAAAAAACTAAACGAATAAACCTAGAAGAAATTGGGAAGTTGAGGATCTATTTAGGACTGCTCTACAATTATCAGCCCAATCGAAAGAGACATTTGCATGATGGCCCGAGAATGGTCTATTCAAGTTCACGTCGGTTTTATACCTAAACGGCCACAGGCTATACATTGTTTTTGTTATTAATTTAGTTCCATAATTTTTTTAAGAAAGAAGTATTGAAGCGAAAAGTCGAATGCAATGCCCTTCAGCTGGGTAACAACTCCATGAGAGGATTTTCGAAAAAGAAGGTATGGACCTTAAATCGATTTTTGTGTCTTGTCTTAAATATTTATACTTTCGATCTTTTTCTTTTATTTTTGACTTTTTCTATTTTTTCAGATACAATTTATCTATTACAGAACGCCAACCAAAAAAGCACCGGCCGATTCGGGCTGGCCATGGATCGAGATGCGGCGATAAAGTGGGCAAATAATGATTATCACCGCTTTGAAAACTTACAATATAATGGAATTGGCGGCAAAAATTTGAAATAGAAATTCATTTAAGCAGAACAAAACAATCAAATAACTTTTAGTGCTCACTGCCATCATCGAAGAGTTCAACGACGAAAATTGGCCGTTTTGAGACAGGAAAATCATGCCAGAAAGCAGCGGCTAAACCGTGGCCCAATGGGGATTACGGTAACAAGGTCATTTTATAGAAATTTCCTATTTTCAGCAACTTCACGAATTCGCAAAATCTCTTACAACAGCCCAGCAAGCTTTGAAAAATACGTCGGCTGAATTGCATGAGGCGCAGAAGAAGTTGAAGGAATTGATTGGTACGTCTCAAAAATTTTTTTAGAGAGTTTTTCATGTATTTAAATGCTAAACTTACGATATAGGGATAAAGATCGTTATTTCGTGATTTTTCAGATGCTAAAACTGCCAAAAGTCAGCTGGTCCAGCAGCGAAAACGTGTTAACCAGGCCAGAAATCGGCAGCAAAATGCCTGGAAGCGATTAAAGGCGAGTGGCTTCAGGAATTGTAGCGCTATAATGTGTTTAGATGGCAACTAATGAGCACAAAATTGCAAAGCGCCGATTTGCTAAACTGCACCCCAAGCATCGTAAGTTTTCACGCAATAAACACCAAGCCGCCAAACATTTTTTTTGGTGCTTTGGCCGTATGACGAAAGTTTAAAAATGTTTAAAATTAAACTTGTTAAAAGACCCTTTTGAGAACCGAGAACCTAGCTAGCTAACTAAAGGTAAAAATCTAGAAAATGAAGCAGCTATAGCCGCAGCAGAAACCGCAAAATTGGAACTGTAAACGTTTTATGTGGAATTAACTATGCTTTTACATTTTTTGTCATTGTCTATCTCTTGATTTTTATCACAGCACTCGTCCTGGCGGCCAAGCTAAAAGCGGCTCAAAACAAGAAGGCTCCTCAACGACCTACAAGGAAAAATATTGCCGCTAATCGCTCGAGATCTTTATCCCCGAGAAGAAGTACGCTTTTTAAAGAATTAAAAAGGAAATTCAAACTTACAGCTAAAAAATCAAAGGCAAAACGGGCCGCTGTTCATTCGAGTTCCACGAGACTCCGCGCTGACGGTCTGGGAATTGATGCGAAGGCGACGAGCTATCAGGAGTGCATGACGATTGCATGTTTATGCAAATTTTGGAATGGTGGGATTTGGAAAGGGGAGGACGAGCTAGCAGAGATCGTCGAGGACAAGGAGGGAGGCTAGCAAAGATCATTAATCAAGTAACGGCAGGCTAGCAGAGGCAATTTGAGAAACCATGTGATCATTTGAAGCAAAAATACATGTTTTTATGCAGAATATGCAATTCTTAACTTTCAGGAACTGCTAGTCCAAATTGCCACTACAAGAAGCTCCCGTTAACGAAGGTAAAAACGCGAAAAACAAAAAATTGGATTTTTAGGCGGTTCGAAAAGAATATCACACCCTCACCGATGTAGAGCGGAATCGATATCATGCCGCGCTGAAAACGCTGAAGAAAAAGGGGGTCTATGATGTATTCGGTGAGATCTAAAAGACACTTGGGCTACAGTATCTTTCAGCCACCTTCCACGCAAAAGCCTCAAATGCGATGAATGCCCACCACGGGCCTGCGTTTTTGCCCTGGCATCGAGAGCTGTTGAAACGGTAGGTTTTCATCCGTCTCTCTCTTTCTCACTCTCTCTCTCTCACTCTCTCGCTCCCTCTCTCTGTCTCGCTCTGTCTCGTTTCTCGCTCTTTGCCTTTCTCACGTAAAAATCACAATTTAGCTATGAACTGGAACTCCGCAAAATCGATCCACGCGTTTCTCTACCCTACTGGCTGAGCAGCGTCAACAACTACGCGCCAAGAGAGCCAGACTTTCCGTGGCGTTCCAGGCAACAGATAACGTTCAGGTAGCTTTTAAAGCGATTGAGAAGCGCAGGATTCTACCCCCTCCATGGAATAGGTCTCGCCATTTATGCCATTAGATGTGTGGCGTAGCTGTCGAGACCTAGGAAGGGTAGAATCTCGTACTTTCTGGTCCATTTAGTAAATCGTTTCAGCCCAAAATTCATGGGATCAGCCGTCGGGCCCGTGACAACCGGACCGGCCGCCGGATGGACTCGAACGGACCGGGTAACGCTCAAAATTCGACAACAACGATGCCGTATTTTCGAGCGGTCCAATAACACGGAACGCTGGGGATCGTAACGCATATTTCGTGTTGACGAACGCCGCCCTAATCCTGGAATATGCCACCGATTACACGTGGGTATTCCGGACGCCACCACCTTATATGGAGGTGGGTTGAACAAGTATACTGTGTAAAAATCGCCCAAAATTTGGCGCAGGGAGTTGGAGCAGTTCAGAGGCTTTTCGAAGACGACCTGCCAATTTCAGTCTTGCACCACGGACTGGTTCAAATCTACGCAGCCCAGCTTCGAGGTCTACCATGGCTATGGGCATATGACCGTTGGAGGTAGAGAGAGAGAGAGAGAGAGAGAGAGAGAGAGAGAGAAAGAGAGAGAGAGTGAGAGAGCGAGAGAGAGCTTTTCAGGAGATATGAACACTACGGCGACAGCGGGCGCGGATCCGCTGTTCTTCATGCATCACGCCAACTACGATCAGTTATTCGAGACATGGCGCCAGAAGTGGCAGGTAAGAGATCAATATCTCTCTCTCCCCCTCGTTTCCAGGATCGTGACGAGCGTGAGACCCAATACCCATCAGATGACATCATTTCTGAATGTACTTCAGCTACACACCAAGCTGCCGTGGCCATGGAACCATTTACGAATCTTAGGTACGTTTCTCGCGTTTTTTGAAGTTGAACATCAAGTTGGGCGAGTTCAGAAGCATTTGCATCATCGGAAGAGAGAGAAAGAGAGGGAGAGAGAGGAGAGAGACGAGAGAGAGAAAGAATGTGAGAGAGCGATTTTCCTAGGGTTATCGACGGCCTCTCCAATCTTTATACCGACGAGCTCTATGAGTACGCCCCGGCGCCGAGCTGTTCGGCGGAGAAACCGGATTGTGGTAGTCCGTACGTAGCGCATCCTAACCTATCGAATTTGTTCGTCTACCAGATACCTCTTCTGCTCGTTGAGCAACACCACGTGGTGGGAGACCCAGGTGCCGGTCAACTGCCTGGCGAAAATGATGCCGGGTGGTGAGGTAATTTGACATTTTGAGGAAGGCCAAAAAGTTATATTAATTCCTTTAGTGTTCTCATTTCGTCTCTGGGGAGAAGCCATGCTACCAAGGAAAATGTGTTAACGGGATCTGTGTGGTTCGTTTTGAACCTTAAAGGGAATAGAAAGCGCCAGAATCTACCCCCATATCGACTAGGTCTAGACAGATCCAAAACACGAGTTAATTGCCATCCCGAGAATGCATAATTTTTAGCTCTTTCTCGAGACTTAGCCATAAGAATAAGTCGACCTTTAACGTGATAGAAAGAGAAGCTCGGTTTTAGAAGACCTGATTGCACGTCATCAACACGTTCATCTGAGCTCTACTTTCTTGATTTAAAACGAATAAAAACAATTTTAAAGATGACGAACTGTACTGCAATAATTACTGAAGCTAGAGAAAGAGAGGGAGAGTAAGAGAGAAAGAGAGAGAGTGAGAGGGAGAGGGAGACAGCGATAGAGATAGATAGAGAGAAAGAGAGAGAGACTACTAGTATCGGTTGTTTTAACCCCCCTCAAGAATCACATGCCACCAAGTCAATTTTTGTTTTACATGCCATATTTCTTATACTACTACAAAACGTGTTTGTACGCGTCAAAACTTGCGGAGACTCAAGCGACAGCTGACACCCGGCAGCCGTTTTCGAACGTGGGGCGTTTGCGACCCCCAACTGGGAAAGGGCCCCCAACTGGGAAGGGACCCCAACTGGGAAAGGCCCCCAACTGGGAAAGGACCCCCCACTGGGAAAGGGCCCCCCGCGTAGGGAAAGGGGGTTTTGCGATCCCGAAAGTCGGGAGGAGGGTTTTGGGACCCCAGGGTGCCTACACCCGTTACAAAGCCCGAGTACCGTCACAACAAAATGCGCCTTGCCAAGACAAAACTGCCTACAACTTTTTGTGAATGTCTGGCCATATGATCAGATGGTAAGTGTTTCAATTTATAAACAGATAACCTGGGTTCGATACCCGCTACATGTCGAAAAGGTGAGGTTCCCCAATTCTAAACAAAAATATCAACTTTAGGTATCCGCAACGCCTGTCCAGACCCTGAGGAGGTCAAAACGGTAAAATTTTTTGCTTTTATGCCATGTGTGTTTTATCGTGCATTTTCAGACAACAACAATTTTTCATGCAAATATTTATTCAGGCACAACACTAAGATAAGGGATTTTTAAATGCATCGAAGTCAGCGGATATAACACGATTAACAGGATCAAGAAAAAACAACAATTGAAAAAGTTTGCATTTGGTTTCGGTTGGCTCGTTGGCGGTGACGCTTGAAGACTTCTCGACTTGCTGCTGATGGTTGTTCTCGTCCTTGACAGGCTTGCTGGTAGTCACTGGAGCCGGAGGAACACCTTCGTTGGAGTAGCTCACAGCAAAGTTACGCCTTCCAGGGCAGTGGAGATGCACATGTCGATTGAGGTTTGAGCGTGTCGTGAAATTCCTTTGACACTGGTCACACCTGTGCGTCAAAGAACGAGGCATGAAATATTGTGGTTGTTGAGAGAGCTCCATTTGACGGCCGTACCGCAGCGTGACAAAGATAAGAATGAGAACCTCCAGGAACGTTTCGTAGTTGTAGAGATGCGAGAGAGCAGAGAAAAAAAAAGCTCAGACTCTACCTTGCAGATGCCCACTCCAAAGGCAAGTTGACACGAAAATGTTTCGATACATAGCCTATCACAAAGTGATCGTCATTGACAATGCTTTGAAAAAATTTGTGAAAGTCATAAAATTTACAACCCAACGACATTTGATGTAAAAAGACCAAGACAAATACACCGCAAGTTTTGGTGCCAAACTTTTGGTGTTGTTCGGGGATGTATCTGACGCGTCTAAACGTCTTTTCCAACCAAAGTTTTATTTTACCCTTAGGTTGCTGACCCAGGGGGTCAAAGTAGTAGCCGATACCTCGTTTACCAAAAATTGCCACCCAATGGCTACCAGGTCCAGTGGACTCGTCCAAATTTACGACAAGTCCCCCACCGCGTCGTTTCCAATTTGGCAAAGTGTCGGACGCAAAAACACCAATGTGGTTTGGACGTGTGTGTCGATTGTGTCGGAGCATAAGGTTCAGCTGTCGGTTGTTCATTTTCAAATGGCCAAAGTCTGGGCTTGCCGTGTGTGGTCAATTGTCATTTTATTCATAAATTCGGCGTGAACAACGCACATGAGACCACCGGCAGGTGTCGCCGTACCAAACTCTAGGTCCAACGAACACTGCCCCGAAATGGCCATGTCAAAGTTGTCGACGCCACCGTCTGCCTCAGGTAGTAGCTCAAACACGTGCACACATCGACTGTCGGCAAACGTATCCATGTCGATACCATTAGTCCGATTGTCTGCCGGCAAACCTGTGCCGTTCAACATTGCCGTGTAACTTTCGGTCCAGCCAACACCGTGTTCCCTGTCCCAGTCGAGGTTCCATGCTTTTGTGGGTACTGTTTGCCCTGCAAAACGCACTTGAATGTTCTTCAAGTCAAAGTTATTGAACCGCCATGGGTCAGTGTCCTGCGAACCGACGAATGCGCTGTTCTTTACCAGCCCCACAAACAACCTTCGAGGAACCTGGTTGGAATTGAATAGTTGCATCTCGGGCACCTTTAGCTGGTTTTCAGGCAAGTAGAAACCCTTTGTCTGGTAGCTACGCATGGGATAGCTGGCTTTTTGACCGCTTAGCAGGGCTCTCTCGATGGATGCACTGGCAGACGGGTACAACTGATATTCCGCCAACACCAAGCGAATGTCGTGAATCTTAAACTTCCAGTCAGTCTTTGTCGATCCAAAGTTGCGAATCAAAAAGTCGTCAGACTGCCGATGCAGCGTAATTTGAATGTCGGTATTGTTCAGCATCAACTTGTTGGAAGTGGCAATATTCAAGTCTAGCGGGCTATTAACGCGTACTTGACGACCTTTCATAAACACCAACGATAGATCCTCGAAACCGTCGTTTGTTGAAAATTCGGTGCCCGCTTCCAGAATACTATAGCATTGAGGGATGCCAATGTTGAATTTTTTCGCCTGCAGATCCGACATAAATTCGGTGTTGATAAAAGCGCGATACGGATACAAGTCGCCCGTGTTCTCCACTTGGGTTCCATTAATGTTGACAGTAATTTGCTTCCAGAATGCCTTTGCGGCTAGCTGAATAGGGGCGCACTTTTCCTTGGGTTCAATTTTGAATGTCTTGTCCGGATTTGTAATTTTTTCAAAGTTTGCGTACCCCTTACCTTCGCTGTCGACAAGACTCAACGTCATGGTAACGTAGCTTTTGGCAAGGGAAACGTAGTGGGGTTCTTTCATGATACGAAAAGAAATGGGTCCTGTTTGTGAAATGCCATTTTCTGGGGCAATACTGCGATATCGCATTGACTGAACACCAACAACATGTTGCAAGGGTTCAAAAAGCGACAACTCGCTTGAAACTAGAAATTCGGGGTTGGCTTCAAGCGTCTTGGGGTCTTCCATGGCGTTTCGGTGGTACAGTTGTTAGAATGAAGTGACTTCGTTTGCGGTTGCTTTTTGTACCTTTTTTGGCAACTGCTTTTGTTCCCTCACCCAAGAGACGTAGAGGGGGCAGAGAAGTGGGGTCGTCTGGAAGTTTTTTCACCTTCCGGACCCGTTTTGTTGAGGGTCCGGCCTCCCCTTCCACCCCGACCCCTTTAGAAGGGGTCCCCTTTTCGGGTCCTACGTAGGGTAGGGGAAACCCTACTTCCCCCTCGACGTAGGGGAACCCTACGACGGGTGGAAGTAGCCCTCTTAAAAGGGGTTGGGGTCCTACTTTTTGGGGGGACCCTACTTTGGGGTTTAAGCGCAGGTACTTTTTGGACGTCTTACGTCCAAAACCCAGCTGTTGTCCGTTGTCGGGTAGTAAAGCCACGTCTGGTAGCAAGGCAACGTCTGCAGGCAAGCGAAAATACTCCATACCGTACGTTAGGAAGCAAAAGTGTGAAGGCAATGTAAAGAATGAACTTTTGCAGCTAGTAGACCCTTTTAAAGTGTAGCGTGGCCACGCAGTTTCCATAGTTAAAGTCAACTTCTCGGTTGTTTTCGTCAGCGATACGCAAGCTAATATCTTCGAAGGAACCTTGGCGTACTGGGCGGTAAACTGGAGGGTTGAAAGTTTTGCTAAACGTCTCGCCCCAGCTCATATCAACTGGGATGGTGCGTAGCAAGTCTTGAAAAGCGTCACCCACCAATTGGGGTTCCACCACGTTGCAACAAATTGACAAGTTGTGACAGTTGGCCTTTAGGTCGAGCATGTATTTTGCGCCTCGACTGTCTTTGATTGTGCTGTACTCGAAGCCTAGTATTTGCCACAATAGCTTGGGAAGAAATAGTTTGTCCACCTTTGTGGGATCAACTTCCACCCAGGCACGGCACCGATGTGCGTCAAACTTGAAAGCCACGCCTCGATTTTCGAGGGCCTTCACAAAAAGACTTGTCGAAAAAGTGTCGTCGACCTCTTCTGGAGGCGTTTTGAAAACGGCTGCTTGTTTGGGAGGCTTTTCAGAAACAGCTAGAGGGGCACTAGGCGGGATATGTTTCGGAAGTGGGCGATTGTTTGCAACGTTTGTGGGTTGTGCTTGAGGTTGCGCTGGTTTCGGCGTTGCTGGTACTGCAACTGTTTTTGGAGGTGCTGGTTTTTCTGTTTGAGCTGTTTGTGCTAGCGTAGCAGCGAGTTGGGGTGGTGGTGTGGGAGGTTTTGGTGGTGGTGTGGGAGGTTTTGGTGGTGGTGGTGGTGTGGGAGGTTTTGGTGGCGGTGCAGGAGCTTGGGGTGGTAGCGTGGCAGGGGCTTGGGGTGGAGCAGGTGGTGACGTAGCTGGTTTTTCGGGTTCTGCACTTGGTGCACCGAGTGGGACTATTTTTGGGAAAGGTTTTGCAGTTTGCACATTCTCAAGCACTAAAGGGGCTTCGCGTTTCCTTTTTAGAGTTTTGGCAAAAATTGCATTTAGAGCGTTGATTAGTCGAGCAGGGGTTGAGTAAGTGCCTTGTGCTAGCCAAAGATGTGTTTCTTTGGCGTCTTTGGACCACAGTCTAAATTTTTGCGGTTCAAGGACTTGGTCCCATGACATTGAGGCTGCAAAGTCGACAAGGGCGCAAGTCCAATAACCTTGCTGCCCATTCGTTTGATAGAGGTTGATTTCTTTCGCGAGGTGAGTCACAAAACTGGAACCTTTTCCTTCACGACGCCCTGGACCTACGAGTGTTACGTAAAAGTCTTCACTCATTTCCTTTGATAGCTTTGCTTTTCAAGGGAGATGGTACCAACAGACAGGCAACAGAAAGGGTAGCACTTAGCCACACTGTCACATCGTTGCCCTTTATATGGGCAATTGTCATGTTGGCGAGACATGCTATAGCAATGAGAAAAATAATTACAATTCTAGCCCATGCCATGTGAATGTTATTGCGGTACTGTGAGGTGGTCGACGAGCGGCTTGAAAGCACTTCTTCCATTATCAAAGTTTGTCCGTGTAAATGAGGCTTTTGTCGGGTACCCAACCATTAAATACACCAGGTTTTTTGTGGTATTTGACAAGGCTGTGAGGTTGCCTACTTATGACCTTTGTACCCAAAACCTTTTCCACTCGGTACATTTTTGGTTGTCGCACTTTTTGCAGTTCCTCCTTGTAGAATACTTGTCGAAGGGAGACCCCCTGCAATGTCTTTAGATAAAAGACTGGTGCAGAGAAATTTGCAGGTTTGACTATGCGTTTAATTTGGAACACTTCGCCAGAAAATGTGCCTTTGTAAGCTTTTCGAAACACCACTTGGCGCTTTTTTTAGCAAGACATAGTCGTTTAGTGCTAGCGGCGGGTCGGGTTTTCGCAATTTAGGCGTACCATCAGGTTGTATGATTGTGTCGCGTTTCATTTCGTTAGGTGTCAACCCTTTTAGGGGTTCTGTTGGCGTATTGTTCAGGCCCTCAACAATTTTCGGTAGCACTTCAACCCAATTGTAAGTGTTGTTTTCGGTGAAATATTTGTAGATGCGCGACTTTAGATCACGAATTTTACGTTCAGCTGGTGCTGCCTTAGCGGTTCCCTTTGTTAAAATGTGACGAACTTCGTTGTTTTTGAGGTAGCGTCTCATTGGTTCACCGGTAAATTCAAGCCCTTGATCTGTCGTCAAATAGTGTGGCGGATCACCAATTTCTCTGTAAATTTGCTCAAAACGTCGTTTTACACTTTGAGGTTTCTTGTTTAGTAGAGGTTTGGCGTAGGTTTTTCGCGAAAACAAGTCTACAACTACCAAAATGTAGCGTTGCCCGTCATTGTATTGCTTAATTTTCTGAAAGTCGGCAAGATCTGCGACATGGTGACTGTTCATGCTAGTTCCAATAAACTTTTTTCTGGGAAACTTGTGTAGAACTCGTCTATGTAGAATGTAAGAATTTTTAGTTTGCAGATATGTGTCAACTTGTCGCTTTGTGATGCCATATTTTTTAGCTTCTGCCACAAGATTATTTCTTGACGTAAAAGCAATATTCGACTCCGGGTCAGTATATAGAAGATCAAGTGTTTTAGTGATACTTTGCGACTTTGAACCTTTTTTTGGTACCACTACCGGTTTGGTCTTCGTCATCGCCATCCCAGGCTTCGGCCTTCAATTTGCGCTTTTCTAGGATCTCCCGCTGAAGTTGTCTAACGCGCTTGACCAAGTCACTGTTTGAAACTTTTTCGTCAGTCGCCAAGGGTGGACTAGTTGTGGTCTGGCTAGATGGAAAAATTTCCTTTTGTATGCTTTGAATTGTACGTGGTGTAAACACAGGTTCGTTCAATTGTTTCACAAGTCGGGGAGTTTTTGCTTGCACTTGGTGATAGGCGTCTTCGTAACCTACGGGAAATGGTCGTTTGGTTTCACTGGCTGCGGCCCTTGCAATTTCAAACAGGTTGCTACCGTCAATAGTTTCACCTTGCGTATCCAAGATTCTATTCTTATTATCCGTCTTGACGTGCTTTGCCAAAAGTTTATAGCTTTTTTCATATGGATTTTGTTGCAAAACCTTTCGCGGTGCCCTTTTTGCAGTGCCCTTGGCTTTATTTTGTGTATTTTGCGTGGCCGTCTGATCTCTGGGGGTTTCAACTGTCGTTGTTTTCAAAATTTGTGTAGGTAAGGGGTCAAACTTGCGAATTTCTTGGACAAGTTGTGTCAAGAAATTGAGAAACTTGTTATACATTTGCATTTTCATATCATCGGGAAGTGTACTTTGTAGTACGTTTGCCATTTGTTGTTCAGTTTCTTTGGCTTGCTCAACAATTTTCTCACGAGGTGTATGAGCATAACCTTCACCTTGCTGCTCGTCGTATGGTACAAGGACCATCTTTTCGAAACTTTTTCTCGAAGCTGTCATTCTCAAATGCCAACGCGGGTTTCGTAATAACTTTTAGTAGTTTTTCGTGAAGCAAAAGTGTTTGCCGCGCCTTTGTAAAATCGCGTAGCTTACTCAAGGTTTGCAAAGTAGCCAAATGCGGTAGAAGGCTTGATTTCTCGTATTTATAGAGAGGTACGGTACCTATGGTTAGGTTGTAAATAAATTCGACAAGGGTTTGTATTTCTTTGTCGGTTGCTTTTCGAATCACCACTTTTGGGTTTGAAGCTTTGTCAATTTTGTGAAAAATTTGCAGGTTGTGTGGACGACCTTGCATTTTCGAAAATGACTACTTGGGTAGGTAAAAAATTTGCCTTTTATCTGGAAAAATGTCTGTAACGAGACGTTCGTTTCGATTTTCCAAATTTGGATGACAATTGATTACGAGATATTGATAAGGTTTTGCAGTCGCATCGAGGTAACTGTCCCAGAAATAAGGAAATTGGTTAGGAAAGCACTGTAGACCCACTTGGCGAGCTTGTAGTAGGTCTGATACTGATCTTAAAAGGACAATGTAGTTTGCATTGATGCGGGCGGTACGCCGGGTCCGAAATGCGTCTTGACTTAGAAAAATTAGTGTACAGTTTTGGTGGTGAGTAATTCGCGAAGTCAAAGCCGCCATCACGCTTTCTTTCATGTCAAGCATCAAATCGTCAAGGATTACGATGGCATTTTTGAAGCTTTCGATTTGCTGGTCGCTTGGTGGACCCTCAAATATATGAAAATTGGAAGGCGTTGCTGGATATTTTTCTTCAATTTCATGTTTTGATCCGGTAAAGTAGTAAATGTCTTGGATTCCTTTGTGGCCGTCTAGAATTTCTTCTAAATATTCGAGAAATTTCATTGTCCATGTTGTCTTGCCGCCCAAGGATTGACAAAACACAAAAATAGAACAAGGATGCTGGAATTTAAAAGGTTTACGTTCCATCTTTGTGAAATTGAAGGGGAAGTCTCTCTATTTATGCCTCCTGCGGTCAGCTGTTAGTTTTCGCAACTGACCCGAAAAAACCCTTTCCCTACGTTGGGTCCCTTTCCCAGTTGGGGGTCCTTTCCCAGTTGGGTCCCAAACGTCCCTTCCCTACGTTGGGGGCCCTTTCCCAGTTGGGGCCCAAAACCGCCCCACGTTCGAAAACGGTTTGCGGGTGTCAGCTGTCAGCTGTCGCCACCGCCTGTTTTGACGCGTACAAACACGTTTTGTGGTAGTATAAGAAATATGGCATGTAAAACAAAAATTGACTTGGTGGCATGTGATTCTTGAGGGGGGTTAAAACAACCGATACTAGTAGTAGTAGAGAGAGAGAGAGAGAGAGAGCTACTCCTTGGATTATTTGAGCAGCACTTAAAATGTTCATCAACTGCTCAAGGAACATTTCCTGTTGGTGCCAGTATCCATTCGAAAAATCCCTCCGTCTCTCACTCGCTTTCCCTCTCTCTCAGTCTATCTCTCGTTTGGCTATAGCGTATCGAAAGTCTCCAATTCGCATCGAGGTCAATGTCAAAATCGTGGCACTTCCTGGTATCAATTCCGCAGCCCGAACATTTGCTGGGCTCCGTTTTTTTTTTTGACGGCAGTTCAGCAAACCATCAAAAGTTCTCTCTCTGTCTCGCTCTCTCGCTCTCTCTCTCTCCCTCTCTCTCCCTCGCCTCGTGGGTCCTATATATTGTTTATTTCCATGGTCGTATGTTTGGATTCCAATGGACTTCCCGGTAGTGTCAGCTTTTATAAAACGCCCAAGGTTTTTCAGAAATCGGTTTTCGCTACGATTCAGATCAAAAGTCGTTCGGCTACGTTTGAATTGTGCCAATTGATACAAAAATACATTTTTGTGATTTGCCGCGGTATTCCCTGTTACGCGCGGGCGAGAGAGATCGGGGCTAGCGAGAGAGAGAACGCGGGAGAGAAAGCACAAGATTGATAAACTCCATTTATTCATGTCTTTTAATCTGGCTACCGTGTCTCTTTTGGCTGCGGTAATAAGCCACGTTTCCCGGTTTAAGGATGAAATGTCTCTTAATAGCCGCGGTACTGCTCGCCGACGCGTTTACCGTTAAACAGGTACGTCTCGCTACATAAGAACATTGTCTGGTGGCGGTCGAATTTTTTTGTCAAACGCGTAACGTGGGCGTTGCATGTCCTCTGGTAGTAGTGACGAAACAGAGCGACACGCGCCGCACACGCAACGCGTTCAACGTCCAGGTCGGAAGCGCAAGCGTAGCATTTTAGGATTTTAGAATTTTCATCCATTTTTTAGGTCATTATACAAAGCTTGAAAAGTGACTCCTCCCTTAGGAACCCCTCTGCAAGACCGACACGGACTGTCGAAAAATCCTGAGCCCGGAATGTGATCAGAAGATCGTCGTGTGCAAGTGTAAAACGACATGGTGCAGCCTGTATCGGGTATGGTAGAGAAGAGAGAGAGAGGGAGAGAGAGAGAGAAAGAGAAAAAGAGAGAGAGAGAAAGAGTCTATATTTCTAATCTTCCTCTTTCCAGCCCTGCGACATTAAAAAAGGCGAAAACAGCAACATTGACTGCCTGGCCGGGCAGACCTGTGGACTCGATACTGGCGTAGGTTTTTGCAGCCTATTTTGGCGTGTTGCATAGTTGTCGAAACCCAGCCAAAATTTGGGGTAGATTTTCAGCCTTTCTAATCCCTTAAATCAGCGAAAACTTGAGAAGTTTTGCTCTTCTTAGGACAACAACTACAAATGCGTGGCCGCCGTGGACAAGGGCGTCAATTGGATTTTAACCCCGTCGCCCAGGAAGCAAAATAGAGGGAGGCAGAATTAGGATTTCTTAACGTCTATGTTTGTATATAATGTCACAAATAAATTATATTTGTAAAGTGAGTGTACCTATTATTTTATCGGCTTTGCCGTTCGATTTTTTGATTTTTTTACGCTAAGTTTCGTATCAGTTTCAGCGTAATTTGGTGAAAATTGTAGTTCTGTTTCTAGCCGTATTTTAACTTTATGAATAACAATTTAGGTTTATTAAAATGAAATTCCTCGTCGTCTTCGCTCTGCTGATCGTCGCCGTCATGGCGCTGGGAACTGTAAGTTAGAGGGAGAAAGAGAGAGAGAAAGAGAGAGAGAGAGAGAGAGAGAGAGAGAGAGAGAGAAAGAGAGAGAGAGAGAGAGAGAGAGAGAGAGAGAGAGAGAGAGAGACAGAGAGACAGAGAGCGGGAGGGAGCCTGACAGAGAAAAATAATTTAACCAAAATTTTAGCCTATTTTTTAGCCCTGTGACATCAAGAAGGGCGTCACCGGAAACTCGGACTGCAAAATGGCCGGCGAGACCTGCGAGAAGGACCTTGGGGTAAGGAGAGAGGGAGAGAGAGAGAGCGAGCGAGCAAGGGTGAGCAAGAGATCAGGCTATAACCAAATTTTCAGTCCAACATCTACCGTTGCGTGATCGCTATGGACCGTGGCGTCAACTGGGTCCTGACGCCTCGGCCAAAGAAGCTCGGGCAGCACTAGAGCAGCTTCGGCTCTCACTCAAATTCATAATAGCCAATAAATTTTAAGCATCGTCCATTAGTCGGATTCGTATGCCTATGATTTCTCGATGTTCAAAAATATACTAACCCAATGTTATCCCCTTTTTCGTGTTGAGGGTTTAGGCATGAAGCATTTACTGTTATCGGCCGTATTGCTCGCTGTCGCCGCCTGGGCTGTCGATCCGGTATTATTTTAATTTTTTTGTAATAGGAACTAAATGAGGACGTCTTCGTCGTCGTCGTAATCTGAAACGGCACTAACCCGCTTCAGGAGCCGTTCTGCAAGACGGATGCCGACTGCGTCAAACGAACGCAATGCGACCAGAAAAAGGTGTTTTGCAAGTGTCGAACGACATCGTGCTACCAATATCGGGTAGGTGGTGAAGGTACTTTAAGTACCGTGTCGCTTTCAAAAAGTCACAACTCGGTCTCGATATTTGTAATGCCGAGATTCACAAGGTCGAAATTTCTTCATGCCGAAATTTGGGATGACGATATTCACCCGGAATCCGGAAAACCACACATACACTTCAAAAAATGTTTCGAAATTCTGAAATTTCGATATTGCGAGATCTCGACATATGAAGATTTCAATTCGATTTCCATCACTTTTCTTTTACTCTGTCTCTTTCTAACCCTATCTTTCTCGCGCTCTCTCCCTTTCTCTCTCTCTCTCTCTCTCTCTCTCTCTCTCTCTCTCTCGAGTGCTCTCTCGCACTCTCTCTCTCTTTCTCTCTCTCTCTCTCTTTATCTCTCTCTCTCGTCTCACTCTCTCGCCCTGTCGCCCTCTCGCTCTTTCCCTTTTTTCTCGTTCTCTAGTTCCTTGATTTCAGCCATGCAACATCTCAAACGGCGAGGACAACAACCCGGACTGCCCACAGTACGAGTCATGCATGCCTAACATAGGGGTAAGTAAGGGCCGCGGCTTTTCCACGTGATGCGTAAAAAATGGGTTACGATATGTCTGCGTCTGCCTTACTTCTTAGCTCCTTAAGAATGTCTGCAGGAGACGATTCACTCGTGTGTGAGAGTGATGGACAAAGGTGTCGACTGGATCGTCAAGAATACAACCCCAAAACTTAGCTGGACTTGGATTTCCGCGGTAAATTTTAATCCATAATTTAATCTATCAAACTTAACTCAGCATACATGTGACATCACCAAGGGCGTGAAAAACAACACGGCCTGCAAGCCGGAGGAGACGTGCGAGTTAACTGCCGAGGTGAGCAACGATCCGCATGGTTGCAAAGGCTTGGCTTAGGATTGGCTTAGGCCTGGCTTAGGCTTGGCATAGGCTTGGCTTAGGGTGGGCTTAGGCCTGGCTTAGGCTTGGTTTAGGCTTGGCTTAGGCTTGGCTTAGGCTTGGCTTAGACTTGGCCGAGGCTTGGCTTAGACTTGGCTTAGGCTTGGCTTAGACTTGGCTTAGGCTTGGCTTAGGCTTGGCTTAGGCTTGGCTTTGGCTTGGCTTAGGCTTGGCTTAGGCTTGGCTTAGGCTTGGCCTGGGCTTGGCTTGGCTTAGGCTTGGCTTAGACTTGGCTTAGGCTTGGCTTAGGCTTGGCTTAGGCTTGGCTTAGGCTTGGCTTAGGCTTGGCTTAGGCTTGGCTTAGGCTTGGCTTAGGCTTGGCTTAGGCTTGGCTTAGGTTTGGCTTAGGCTTGGCTTAGGCTTGGCTTAGGCTTGGCTTAGGCTTGGCTTAGGCTTGGCTTAGGCTTGGCTTAGGCTTGGCTTAGGCTTGGCTTAGGCTTGGCTTAGGCTTGGCTTAGGCTTGGGCATAAATTACCATAATTTGGTGGCAAAATCCAAAACCGCGTTTCAGAAGGTCTACAAGTGTCACGGGCGCAACAACTAGGGCCGGATGAGGGAAGGTTGATTTTCGCTCTTACAAACTCAATAAAAGCTTCGCATTGTCGGCTTCTAATCGTCGTGGTCGTAGGAGCGTAAAATCGCACCAACGTTTTCAAGAAAAAAAAATATGATTTTACACAATTTATTTTCACCTTGAAAATAGTCTAAAAATGATACGCATCATTGATCAATTTGTTGTGGTTGCTCGGATCGTTTTGCTTTAGATACTTTTCCGAGCATCGGAATGAGTAGCAGACCGGAAAATACGAGGGCCAGACCTGAAATAGATTTTTTTGTAAGGAGAGCGAGAGAGAGTGAGAGAGAGAGAGAGTGAGAGAGTGAGAGAGACCTACCCGAAAATATATAAGTCGGATGGTAAGAGCCAGCAATATCAGCCAAGAACCCGGCAATCGACGGCCCGGCCAGAGTGCCGATACCCTAAAAATCAAATAATGTACTTGCGATTCCATGACGAAAATAACTTAAATGTAGACTTAAACTTTAAAGGATTGAAAGTATTTTTAAACCACCTTCAACGTCAAAACAATTCCAAAGGCTTGGGTAAGCTTTTCGGTGCCGACGAGATCGACGAGTACGACCGACATCAGGCAGATCGAGGCGGAGAGACTGGAAATATTCTAAGTTAGTTATGTTTATCTCTCTCGCTCACTCACTCTCTCTATTTCTCTCTCTCTCTCTCTCTCTCACTCTCTTTCTCTCTCTCACCTGAAACCGAACAGCCCCGCGTAAACGGCCAACGACCAAAAGTCGAGCATCAAGAAAGAGCCGCAGCATAGCAAGCCGCAAATCTGGAATATGGATTTTAGTTCTGAAAATCTGATTTAATCATTCATTTAATCATTTTTAACTAATTTTTAACTAATAATAAGTAATATTATTATAATTTGCATACCACCAAAGAGCTTCCCAGCAGCACCACACGATTTCTCGACTTGTTCTCCCGGAAATCGCCGATGAAGCCGCACACCACTCGTCCTATCGTATTCAGAAGTCCTGGAAAAAGTGCACTCTTTTTGTGCGTAACAATAAATTTAATTTTAATCGTAACTATTAAATTCCATTGATTTTTAGACCTACCGTACACAGCCAGCGGCATGGCCGCCTCCTCTTGGCTCAATTTTAGCGTCTCCTTCGCGTAGAATGGTAAGAAATATGTGGGCCCGTTTGTTCCAAATGACGTCAGCATCGCGGAGAGGCCATAGAAGAGGAAGAACGGGTTTTTGAAGAGGATGAGGGCTTCTTTGAACCAGTGCAGCCTAAAAGTTGCTTAAAACTTCTAAAAACTATATATTTATCTTAAAAATTAGTTTATTCAGGCCTTAATTGAACTTCAAGCCTAATCCAATTTAAATTTAATTTTAAAATCCAAATGAAAACCCTACATTCCATCCTCTTCCTCCTTCTTCTCCGCCGGTTTCGCTAAAAGTTGCCCATTTTCCGCTTCCGGTTTTGCCGGTTCTTTTGGAACCTCGCGGAACGTGAGGGCGAACAGGATGGAGAAGAGGAATAGCCCTAAAAGCTTATTTTATCGTGCTGTCCCAAATGGTCCCGGCTCTCTCTATCTATCTCTCTGTCTGCGTGTTTCTCTCTATCGCTCACTCTCTCTCTCTCTCTCTCTCTCTCTCTCTCTCTCTCTCTCTCTCATCTCTCTCGTTTTGCTAAAAATCGAGTATTTACCAGTGAACAGCTTGAAGACGGCCGGCGCCCCGAAATGGGTGATCACGAACGCATTGATGGGGCTGAACAGGAAGGAGCCGATTCCCGCGCCGCATACTGTAATTCCGGTGGCGAGGGCGCGTTTGCTGAAAAGTTCGCACTGCGAATATTATATATGGAGAGAGAGAAGTGAAAGAAAAGAAGGAGAGACAGAGAGAGAGAGAGAGAGAGAGAGAGAGAGAGTGGGAGATAAACTCACTGATGAAAGTGTCGAGTGACGCAAACGATGGCCGGACAGTACATCAGCCCGGCACCGGTACCAAGTATGACACCTACGGTAACTCCCAACCACAACATGGAATCGGCCCACAGCGAGAGGAAGCAGCTGAAATTTGCATTGTTGGTTTTTTGTACGATTTTAAAGGAACTTCGAAGGCATAAATCGGCTTGATTGGGCTTGGCTAAAATGGAAACCAAACTTCGGGGACTTACCCAGTAGCCGAAAAGACGCATCCAATCGCGCACGTTAAGTTACATCCGATTCGGTCGATAAGCACCGTGGCGAAAACTCCTGAAATCGACAGATTTTTAACTTTCAGCGTTCAAAATATTTTAAAGGAACCATGAAGCCAAATACCGTACCTGAGGCCATGTAAAATCCATTCAAAATTGAGAACACGAGAGCGGCGTTGGTATTGTCGGAGTGGAGTTGCTAAAAACGATAAAATTTTCTGCATTTTTATATCCCACCGTCTTCAGGTCGTCCATCAGAATTCCGAGGGTGTTGACAAAGCCATCAGCGACGACGTGGATTAGGAACGCGCTCAGGACGACGAGCTGAAGGAGTAAAATTGGATGGTCAATGACTTTTCCAACATGAAAAACTTAAGTTCAATTATTCCTTTTAAACGCTTTATAATTGACTAATATTACGTTTTAAATAACTAAAATTAGTTGCTTAATTCTATATACATTCACACTCTTAAGATCACTTGAACCACGGACAATATTTGATATTTTTTGCACTTACCCATCCCCAACCACCGTCAATTCCTTTCGTTTTTTTCGTAGCAGCGGTGGTCATTTTTCAGACCTAAATTTTTCTAGTTAAAAAGAAGGTCCAACCACCAAAGTTACGATCAGAAATAAGAGAAAAATTGGTGTAGACAATCGAAAAGTGCACGATATCCCCCTATTTGTTTTTGGACCTGAAATTGGCTTGTCAAATAAATAGGGGGACCTGGATTTAGGGTGAGAGCACTGTTTTTTTAGGAAAAATCGGAATAGAAAAATAGCGAGAGAGAGAGAGAGAGAGAGAGAGAGAGAGAGAAAGCGAAGGAGAGTTAGAGAGAGAGAGAGAGAGAGAGAGAGAGAGAGCGATTGAGAGAGCAATTGAAAGAGAGAGCGAGTGAGAGAGAGCGAGTGAGAAAGAGAGAAAGCGAAGGAGAGTTAGAGAGAGAGAGGAGCGATTGAGCGAGCGAGAGAGAGAGAGACCTTTACGGCCTGAAAATGCATAAATTCAAATAGCTAAAAATAATAACCTCCCGTACCGATATAACCGCCGAACTAAACCCTTGGCTGCAGCTGACCAAAAATAAATAGAACCGCGGTCACCGGAAAGAAGAGTAGATAAGCCATAAGCCGCCTGAACTTCTCCAGCACCCGCCAAAAAACTGGCATCCAGGGCGGCTAATCGTAAATAATACGATTGAGGCAATAAATTGACTTTTTGCAACAATTCGATATCAGTTACGATTTTATAAGGCGCTATTATACCATTCTAAAAATTTGCGGAATTGCATAAAATGCAAAAATTGCATTTGCAATTGCACACAAACATAATTGCTCTAAATATCTAAAAAAGTTTTGAAAAATATCAAGAAAATAAGTAAATTTTAAAAACACAAGCTTTGTCTAAATCTCGGAAAAAATTACATGGAAAATTTTGAACGCAAAAATAGCCAATCGCAATTTCAAATTCGATTTTTCAGAACATGGTTTGGATTAATTTGACGAAACCAGATTAAACTATATATTTTTATTTATTAAATAAATTTTTAAACATATGAAAGCCTAATCAAATCGAGAAATTTAAAATTTTCCTAAATTGATTGGAATTATTTCTATTAAAGCTATATTTCTTTTAACTAAATCAACTTTTCTCGTATATTAAAGTAGTTTTTAGTGCAAATCTTATTTTGGGAAGTCAGCCGGAACCGTCCGGTCAGGTGAGCAACATTTTCCAAAAAAATTCGTATGGGTTCGGGGTCGAGGGCAATTTTTAGGAGCTTCCCCGAGCAATAATTAATGGCTGTCAAATGACGCGCAAGGAAAATATAGGCAGGGAAAGCGAGGGGGGTTGTGGAACGGAAAGGGGTGTCATGTGGAAAACACGGAAAACGGGGGGAATCCACCAAAAAGGGGGCGGCTGCTGATGCAACGCGGCGGGAAATCCGAATAAGGGGCGAGCGGCCTGGGGGCAGTTTTTGAACTTTAAAGGTGCCGGAGCGGGTTCCAAAAGTTTGGTAAAAATCTGTTATCATCTTATCGAAAATCATGTTGTCGACATTTTAATGCGCCAAAATTTCAATTTTCAGCATGTTTAAGATGAATAATCGCGGCGAAAAAGACTTGAAATTTTGTCAAAATACAATTTCGACGCATTAATTCTTCAACAAAATTGTGATTTCGACGAAACGAATTTCGACTTGTTAGTTTTCGACGCGAGACGATGAAAATCACGCGTTTTTTTGCTATCAGGGATAGCATAGACGATCTCACCAACTGAAATTAGCTAGACGACCACAGAATATCCACCACTAAAAATGCCGACATCCCAAGTAATTCTATAGATCGCCACTTGTCGGCATTTTACCAGTGTCGGTATTATCGGAGAATTCGGTATTTTTGTGATGGATGGAATAGACGTTTCCTGTCGAAATATAGTCGATCGCAGGGGCGATTTTTGGTGCCGGATAAGCGCTTTAATATCGGCTACGACTAAATATCTGCACACGTTTCCCCGGGCGGTAAGTCAAAAAATCATTTTTAGAAGTCAGAAAAGGCATTCTAAAATTTTTCTCAGACCCAATGCCGGGGTTCTCGGAGTTAAAGGCCTCTGGAAAGATGGGATTGGTCAAAAAGCAAGACGATGTGCACCGGCCGGGGGTCGAACCAGGGATGGTCCGCCCCGCAGTCCAACGCGTTACCCCCACACCAAAGGGGTCGAGTGGGGGAGGGCGGCGGAGGGGCCTCAAGTACCCTAGGGTCCATCTCGTGCACGTCACTGGGCGACAATTTAAAATAAAGCTATTTATAGATAATAATAACGAAAAATTCTACAGAAAAGCTTGCCAAGGGCAAGGAGCGTCTTCCCTGAATTTCCTGAAGTGTTTTATGCCCTTTCCGACGATTTTTCAAGTGAAGAACGCCCCAAAAACCTCTTTTCGCTCAGAACATGGCAGCCATCGTTCCAATCAGCCTCAAATTTTTACCATCGATGGGGATGGCTATAAACTATTTTTATGGAAGTTTCCAGCCAAAAATATAGTCAATCAAAAAGTTATGGCTATAAACCAGTTTTCTGCAAAACCAGTTGGGGGTTTTGGGGCCCCTTACGCGATGGAAAGCGTGCATGGTATCGCCCCGTCGGTCCCTCACCCCTGGGGACGCCCGGCCATCTTTCCAACGGTCTTTAATATCGGGCTCCATGTGATATCCCCCGTGTTGGTCAGCTGCTCAAACACCCGAACACTACCCAAAATCAAAGGAATTTGAGAAAATTTTATCTCTAAATCGGTATAAAAGATATTAAGCATATCGGTAAAACATTTAGCTGCAAGAAAACTGAAGAAAACGGGACCCTTTTCAAGGGCCAATATGTAATTTCCCTGGGAAATAAATCCCCCACTGGATGTTTCGAGCCCCGCCCCTTTTCTATTTTGTGCGTTCTGTGCTTGTCGTGGCCCTCTGGGGGCCCTTTTGGCCCTCTCAGCTCTCTTTTTGGCCCTCTCGGCTCTCTTTTGGCCGTGCTTTTTTTGGTTTCTATGGGTCCCACGCCGGCGTGTGTGGAGGCGCTGACAAAACCCAAAATCCGCGCACAGACCACAGAAGCCCCGCGCGACTCATATGGGGACTAGAAACTACAACCTGTAATTGTCGCCGGGATTTGTGCTTTTTGTATTGTAATTTCGTATCGTAGTTCATAGATGTAATAGAGGTTGTGTGAACGCAAAAAAAAACCATGTAAAAATTCGAAGTTATGCCTGAAACGGGAAAAAATATTGTAAGTCGTCAAAATGTGGATAGATGCATTCATAGAAAAATACAAACTTTATACAATGCTACCATTAACGGGTTTGAAGCTGGGAGTTCGCTAAGATGACACGCGTTCTGGACTGTTAGCTGGCAGATGGGGGACTAATTTATATTTTCCGCCTGTAGCTAGCTGGTCATAGTGCATAGGGTCATTTCATGGTGCTTTTTAATAGTTGTTGTTCGCTAGAAAGTTGCAAAAAGGTTTTTGAAAAATTAAAATTTTTTTCAGTTTTGAGTGCTTTTTAAGTCTAAAAACGGTCTAAAAGGCGATTAAAAAAAACCTCTAGATCTTGCTATAAGGCCGGGCATACCAGACAAAATGTGGTCCCCCCACCACAGGCCAGAACGGAAAGGTATAAAGTTGACCAAAATTTCATCGCTTGAAAGTGCGCAAGATTAAGATTTAGGCGGGGAAAATTAACACTTTTAAAAATCAAGCTGCAGAAATACGGTTAAGGTGCGGTGAAACTGCGAAAAAAGGAATAGCAAAATTACATGAATTTGCCGCAATATTTACCGCAACAATGTATTTACATCAATATGACATAACATCTTGCCGAAACAGTAAGTTTAGGCCTCGAGCGTTTCCCATTGTTTCGATCCACCATGTGCCGTGTCGACGGAGCCCTTTGTCAGGGAGACGCCAGTCTTTACTGGTCGACACCTGGAAGACGGTATTTAAGGGAAAAGTGAGAGAGTGAGAGAGAGAGACAGAGAGACTGAGAAGGAGAGAAGATCCAAAAAAAATTACCAAGGCAAGCCGCCGAAAACACAGCCCCGAATGTTCTGGTTGATCGTTAGGTAAATTATGGAGGAAACGCCTGAATTGTAATTTGTACCAATTTTTCAACCCAAAGTCCGACCTGTACAAGTCTGCCAGCAAAAATGTCCCAAAATACACCAAAATCTGGTCCCTGCAGATGCGTATTGCATTCCGATGTAGAGGAAACAGGCGATAAGCATCGGGATCGTGATTAGGAAGGATTGGAGGAGGAGCTAAAAACCTGGATTACCTCTTGCTCGCTTTCTCTCTCATTCTCGCTCTCTCTCACTCACTCTCTCTCCCTCTCTCACTCGCTCTCGCGCGCTCTCTCTCTATCTCTCGCTCACTCTCTTTTGCTCGCTCGCTCGCTCGTATGCGAAAATTAGCACTTACACTTTTCTCCGGTGCACTCAAGGTCCTGGTCTTGCTCAGGGTATAAATGCAAATGAATAGGTAAGAAAAGAATAGAAACAGCCCCGCACAAGCATTGTTGAGAGGGTGGGCATGGTTGAAGTAAAGTGTATATTCCTGAAAATTTAACTAGTACAATTTAATGATTTAATTGCGAATTAAACGGTGGTGTTAATTTGCGGAAAACCAAAATTTTAAGTGATAAAGCGTGCTTATCCCAAAAAAATTCGTTAGAAAATCCAGCGCGCTAAAAGTAAAAAATTTAATAACAAAACACCTAAATAAAAAGCTCAAAAAGCGAACCCCTCAGCTCTCATAATCATCCATCATTTAACCCGAGCGTTGTCGGCTCCGAGGAGCCTTCGGCCCGGGCCGAGTTTCATCAAAGCTTGTCGTCACCGGGGTTCGAACCCGCGACCCCTGGCCTGGTAATCCTGTCCCCAGACCACTTGGCCACGGGGGAGAGCGGAGAGGGGGTATGGAGGAGGGTCAAGGAACCTAGCCACGCCCCCCGAGGGGCCGAAAAGTCTTGGAGTACCCAGTAAAGAGGTTTTATTAGTTTTAAAGGACCGTTGAAGGCAAGAAGGTAATTTTTAAAGGCGCTTGGAAGTGAAAATCCGCATTTTCGGAGCTAAAAATTAATGGTTAAAAAAATATTGAGTTCAGTTCTAAAAAAAGTGTCGGCATTATTCGACAATATTTCGTCCCTATGAAATTTCGGCATTATTAATTTAGAGGTTTGCACCCACCGTTAAAGGCAAATTAAGGTAAGGTAAATTAAGGTAATTTTTGAAAGAATATTACAGTCGCGACGTCATCAGTAATAAATGGAATCCAGGTGCCGAGGAAGACATTAGAGTTGAATCCCATTGGCTTGTGCAGAATTCCGACCCAGGCAGCATACAGAAGTGGCCATGGCATCCACAGGATACCGTAGTAGCTCTGAAAAGAGAGAGAGAGAGAGAGAGAGAGAGAGGGAGAGAGAGAGATAGAGAGAGAGGGCGAGAGAGTGAGAGAGAGACTCACGTTAAAAATCGACGCCATCCACCTCCATTCGCAAACCACAGATAACCGATTAACAGCCAGAGTTGAGTAGAGGCCGCAAGCCAACGCCCAAATGACTAAAAAATGTTTTTAAAGGGGTTGAGAAGACCGAAAATCGACCCCTTCCATCGACTAGGTCTTGTCTTGTCAACCTTCAAAATCCAAATTTTCTAGCGCGGGTGTTTTGTAGCTGTCGCGGTTACTAATAGATTAAAAATGCAAAAAACTCTTACAAATATTGTACGCTCCCTCGATATACATAAATAAAGGACTCCAGCAAAATACGCCTCCAATCGCAAAAATATAGCCGGCGAACAGGGAGTTGGCGGTCAGGTTCATGATATCGGCAAAAATTAGGCAGAACATAATCTAAAAATACCGATTTTCAGGGTGCTACTGGCTGGAATCCTAGCCAAAATGCCGACAATTAAAATCCCGACAACCTAAATGCAGACAGCCCAAACGGCCGCACCCATAATCTAGGCTCGGCAGATGATGGCTATTGCGATTTTGGCTATCAGGATTCCCCTTACACAGATTTTGCTATTAATCGCAGAATTCAGAAGAGTTCCCTAATGATCCCTGTTAGCCTCTACTCGACCTTTTCAGGGCTTCCCCAAATTTTCTCTGCTAGCTCGCCCAACGGCACCGACCCGATAGCACGGATTCTTCAGCAGCTTCAGCTTTATCATCGAGTAGATGGAAGGCAGGTAGAGAAGCTTAAAATGTGTTTTCTTAAATTCTATTCCGAAACCATACTATGTACAACACGCCCATCATGATGAAAAAATTGCCCAAAATTGGCCACTTCTCGCCGCGGGCCAACCATTCTGCGCTGGTTCGTCCCGAGCAGTTATACATCGAATCAGGGTACCCAAAAAGGGCTCTTATGGTCTAAAATCAGATTTCTGTTTGTGAATACCGTAGCCCACCTCCATTTTCGTTCGAAAATTCTGTAAAAACAAGGTGAAATGCTGTTTTTATATACCGGAACAAAAGATGCGTGTTATTTTGAGCTCAGTTTGGTTCCTTGTCGCGACTCTCTCTCATTCTCTCTCTCGCTCTCTCTCTCTCTCACTCTCTCTCTCTCTCTTTCTCTCTCTCTCTCTCTCTCTTTGCCTCTCCCTCTCTGCCAACCGTATCTCAACTCGGAGCGTCATACCGTAATTTTGCTGCCTCTTCTAAATGTCCATTGAAGCGTGGGTGAATTTTGAGGACCACCGAAAACAATTATTTCCATTTTTACTCACAGTGGTTATCCGTGTTTTCTGATGCTTGGTTGATTATCTGAGGCCGAGTGTAAAAATAGATTTGTCCAAATTTTTTGGCGTTTAAGGACCAAGTAGGAATAAAACCCCCCCATGACATGCATTCTTGAAAAAAATGAATTTTTCAGGTAGCTTTTGCCTTCCCAGGACTCTAAAGGAGGTAGGAAGCCCCAGGATCGATGCTCAATTCGGCCAGATGTCGTCAGCTACGCCATATACCCGTAAATCACCGTCCATTCTAATGGCAAAATTGTAAAAGGAAGGTCAATTTCTTTCAAAAACCGAGCCGGTTCAAGCCGTCTGAGACATCGGTTTTTCGCACTATTTTAATGTTTGCTTTATAAATCGGCGATCCGTTTTTGTAGAGATATTTTGAATACATGAAAAAATTTGTCTTTTCAAGGGCTATAAGACCTGTTGTTTCTAATAGCTTGAAAATCGTTCTCCGCCGAGAAATTTGCGAAAAAGTGTGTGGACCTATCATTTTGACCCGCACTGTATCATTCAGTCTGATCTCAAAATTTTCCCCCAAAAATTGCAAAAACAAGGTCAAGTTGGTGTTGACGGGGGGTATTCAGATAACCCGCCAACTCCGGACCATTGCTGGGAGGGGGTAGAGGGGTCCGGGGCTATATACCCGCTGAAAATGAGTGGGCCAGCCGGGGGAAATGTCGGGAAGCCGGCAGAGAAAAAGAAGAATCCCGTGTTCTCTCGTCCGACTTTGACAATCGGCGGCCTTTTGGTGGCTAAACAATTGAGGAACCCGCGCGGACATAGGGTCCTTTCGCATTATCGTGGGCTGAAAACCGGCTTATTTTCATTTGGTCGAAAATCGTTTTGTCGAAAATATTTATGTCAAGCTGATTTTTCACGGTTTTCACGGCTGACCGAGCAGCTGATTTTTTTTTTATTTTGATCTATTGCTTTATGCCAATAAAAATTTATTCCACTTTCTTCTTCCTAAAAATAGCACCAAAAAGGCGTTGAAAGATTTTCCAGGCGATGAATATTGTAAAAAGTAAGGCGGCAATTAGTATTCCCATGACGTCGAGCAGGTAGTATTGGATGAAAGAGAGCTGCCGGCCGTATGGGTCGAGTTGGGGGAGGGGACCTGAAATATTTTGGTTAGAAAGCGAGAGAGAGAGCAAAAGCGGGAAAGCTAGAGCGAGCAGAGAGAGAGAGAGAGAGAGAGAGAGAGAGAGAGAGAGAGAGATAAAGCGAGAGCGAGAGAGATCGAGATAGAGAGAGAGCGCGAGAGTGAGAGAGTGAGAGATAGAGAGTGAGAAAGAGCTGGTTCCTACCGTATTTAGCAGCAAACTCGACATGCCGAAGCAGCGTCTCCGATGCCGTAAATGGTTTCTTTGCTATCATTTCGGCCAGCTGTTCGGCGTTTTTTGATAACCTAAATCGTATTTAATTAGTTTTTTTTTGTTATTTAACGCACCCATCGTTTTCTAGCAGCTCCTTAACAGCTTTAACCAGCTTTTCCTCGTCGTTCAGGTCGTTTTTGTCAAAAATTTGGGCTGCTCCGACTCTCGCTAATTGCTGGCAGTTCGCGAATTGATCCGCAAAGATTGGGATGCACAGGACCTAAAAATTTGGTGTTTTTTAAGGTGCTACGTAAAGCTTCTTCATCTCTTGATCTCACATTTCTAGGCATTGGTAGCCAAAAACTACCCCAAAAATTTTTTTTTGAAAATACCTGATTTTATGATTGACAATGTAAATTACCTTCCTGCCACTGGCGGCAACTTCTTGCTGGCTACCAGCTCCCGCGTGAGAAACGAAGGCCGACAGGCGTTTATCAGCTGAAACAGTGCAAACTGTAATTTTCTAAAAATTTTCTGTCAGGGAGCCGGGATGCGCGAGAATCCTGGATTAGGTCTCGACAGCTACACGGCATTGCAAGTGCCACTAGAAGCCTAATTTTAACTGGCTCTCTGAACCTCTATTTAAGGCCAATGATGTATCCGCGTATTAACAACGCCAAAAATTCACCTAACAACGCCAATTGCGGGGCCCACGCAACCGGATAGACATTTTGTGGCAATTCCTTGACTAGAGGGTCGCTGAGATTTTCATATTTCCAGATGAAAGTGACGTCGGGAAGCCTGAATTCGTCGAGATAAAAATCGCTATTTTGCCAATTGTTTTAATATCAATACCGTTTACATACATTCGCATAGCCGCGATCAACCCCAGTCTTGACGCCAACGGCATATCGGCCGATTTGGCCATCGACCCGAATGAAATAAAGACAGAGTGACTTCGTTCGCCGAGGATACGGTCGAATTCCTGAACAGACTTTAGGAATTTGGATCAAAAATACAAAAAAATACACCAACCAGAAAAACAGACAATTTTTCGACCTAAAATTTTTTTTTCTAAAGTTTTAGTTGTTTTCGTTTAAAATATGCTTAGATTTTGCTTAAAAACACGGGATTTCGATCCGTGGGGCTCTTTCCCTTCGATTCCATTGTTTTTAATTTGGTAAAAGTAATAGCAATCATTCTACACTCCCCTACCTCGCTCAACGGTTCCACAGATTTCGGCACCGCAATCCCGCCGATGTAGACGATCTTGGCGTGCAAAGGCTTGGGGAAGTCCAACAGGGGTTCGGAGTTGAGCAGCAGATACGAGGAGCGCAGCATTAGTTCCTAAAAGGATTCTAAAACAACCAATTTTTTCCATTTACCGTTTTTATTTATATTCTACTTATTTTATTTATTTATTTATTTTTACTTGTTTTCAAAATACTTTTCAACGTCAATTTTGAATCTAAAAACCCCGACAAACCTTCGACCCCGGGTACTCGGATTCTTGGGTGAACATGAACTCGTCGAATCCCTCGTAGCTGTCGAAAACTGGCCTGGAATAATTGGAAATTTGGTTCTGTTCTATTTCGCGTGGGGGGAAAAAACTGTGCGGGGGAAATATGGTTCGCGGAACCTTCCATCTTTTCGCTATTTTCTCGGGATTTTTGCAACGCCATTCGATAGAGCATCAAAAAATATACTAAGAGTTTTTGTTTTAGCTAAAAATATTGTAATATAAAAAAGTTATAGCAAAAACAAAAAAAAACTATTGAAACTGGTTCCGGAATGTTAGTTTTCGGCATTTTCGCCAGTTTTTCGATATTTTGAACCCGTCATTCGATAGAGCATCAAAAAATATACTCAGAGTTTTAATTTCATCTTAAAATATTGTTTTATAAAATAGTTATAGCAAAAACAAGGTTTATTCGGTGTTTCCACATGGGATCGTGGAGTCGAAAGCTAGTTTTCGACATTTTCGATAACTTTCAAAAATTTCTTTAATGCCATTCGATAGAGCGTGAAAAAATATACTAAGCGTTTTAATTACAATTCAAAATAGCATCATATAAAAGAGTTATAAAAAAACGAAGAAAATTCGCCCCCCCCCCCGCACAGTTTTTTCCCCCCACGCGAATTTAAAGGATATACCGTATTAAATAATAAAATCTAAATTCCAGATCAAAACTGAGCTTACCGCTCCAACAGCGTGTAATACCAGTTGAGAGCGCGCTCGCGAAATCCCATTTTTTCGATCCCACGAGAAAGCATGGCTGAATTTTACTCTGGTTAATACCTTATTTTGCTAATTTTATCAACTTAATCCAAACTATAAAATACATACGTAAGAATATAACAATACATTCAAAATACAAAACTTACTTGGCACCCAGGAAACCGCCGAGTGCGCCCCGAATATCACCGGGTACGTTGCGCCCGGATTTGCCGAGAACACCGTCACAAACTTCTCAAGCCCAAGCTTGTAAAACAGAGCTAACAAAATTTTCTAGAACGTGCCCAAATCTACCGTAACCCGAGGCCTCCATCGGCTGCGAAACCGCTAAATCGAAGTGGTAGCCGCGAATTTTTGAGAGGAAATCCGGATCGGCGTAGAAACCTAAGTGTTTCTAACGTTTTAAAAAAATGCAAAAAAATTTACATACCTTTTAAGTGCTCCAGCGCGGCGAAACGGAGTAGCGCGACGTACTAAAGGAATTAGAAAAATTAATTTTTAAAGAATATACCTTTTTCATGACGGCAAAATCCCCCCAGAGCGTCGTCTCCCATCTCGCCGAGCCGCCCGTATCGGATTTTTGCGCCGAAAATACCTTTCTCACCGATTCAGGAGCCGGGAGTTCAATTTTCTAAAGGATTTCCGGATCAGGAAAACATAAAGTTGTAAAAATTCTTTTTTTTAACCTACCTCGACTCCGGGATGGGTTGGGCCTTTGGCCGAGACTTTATCTAGGAAGAGGGGCTCGAGGAAAACCTATAAGGTATGTGATTAAGCCTCTCAATAAATTGTCGAAAATCGACTAAAAAAATGGGTGCTTTCCCATTATCGGGGGGGCTAATTTTTTGCCTTTAGCAAAATTGAGCTATCCTTCAAGTGGAAAAACAGCTTAAAAATCGGAAATTACGTAAAATTAAAAAGTAGGATCGAAAAAGTATATTTTGTCTTTTCTTAATAAAAATTGGCAAAGTTTTTACGTTTAGGAGCCCAAAACAATTATTTGCGAAAAATCCGGCGCTTAGAAAAAAAATTATTCCCCCGATAATGCCAAAGAACCGAAACGGGAATTCAGCGGTACAAAACGCTAAAAACTAAATAAGCTTTAAAAACTGACCACCCGATGCCCAGCTTCCGCCAACGTATCACAAATCTTGGCCAGGAAATTAGTGTGCGAATGCCCGAAACGCGGGGAATACACCAATATATTTAGCGAATAGCTTCTGCATATTATCAAGCATAACAGCAATAGAATTCTAGCCATCATTTGCCACTGGCGATCAAAAACTACAGGAACAAAGGCCAGTGGCCACCCCGCATCAGACCCGCCGTTATCAACGCGAGTTGCCCCCGGAATACACGAGTGTTTGTTTTTCTGATCACGCCCTTTGATAATGTGTTCGAAATCAGGCGCTGGGTCAAATATCAAGGGAACCTAGACTCTAAAACGGTGGCCGGGCCTTTTAGATCTAATGAGAACAACTAACAGGCCAAAAAAGACAAACAAATGACAATTCTGATCCGGACGTCACCCTGTAATGCGAATAAACCAATAAACCACCGGAACGCATAGACAAGAGCTTCAAAACGCAATCTATTAGGTTGAACCGAAAGTAATTGTAATCGATCTTCGGGACAAGATTTATAATATTTCTACCAAGTAGCCGACTGTCTTTTAACTTCCTTTGTTTGGTCTAGCAAGGTACTACATACCCTAGAAATATCAAGCGGATCCTAGCCCTAACACTCTTTTTATAACTGATTTTGCCCGCGGCACAGGGCCACCCGAGGCGCCGACATCCGGGATCCCTCTTTGTTTCCAGCCTTATAAAAATTACCGATGCCGTAATCCCACTATCGTAACTGGCAATGTATAATGCCAGTGTGATATCTTTCTAGCTATGGTGTCCAATTCAGCAAACAGATTTACAGTCGGCCGATATTCTCCTTTGTTTGGATAAAAATCCGACTTTTCGGTGAGCTTGACTAAAAGGCTCTCTTAAATTTATTGAGGATAATGAAATTAAATCTGATCTATTTATCATAGACAGTTTTTATTGACGAACATACTACCGATCCCAGCTATCTTCCCACCCTTCTTTATCTGAACAAATTTTGCAAATTAGTGAGGCATCAAGTGACCGACCCGGAGATCGGCTGGAGACACACAGTTTGCATTGCTACTCTTTCACCCTTGCCAATCACAATGTTTCTATAGTGCAGTATTAGTGGTCATCCACAGTAGCTACTGTGTTACAATTACCAATATTTTAAACCCATTCTTTCGCGGAGAAAAAAATAAAACCAAAATGTGCTCAAAATTACGATTCATTTCTCAATTCCAGACGAAGACTGAACATTTGTTCTTAGGTTATCTACGGACATAAAACAGCCTCAATTAAGCTTCATTTTGATAGAACCCACTCAAAAAGTTATCCACAAAACTCGGAGAAAACGGCCGACAAAGGAATATGTCGATTCGCAGCCCAAAAACCCAGTTTGACATCTTTTTAAATTGACCTGGGAAAAAATAATGCAGCTAGCTATTAAAATTCTCTTTAATGCACTGCATGGCCCAAATGTTTCTCTATCTACTATCACTTATTCAAGTCACTAGGGTCGGAACGGCCGGCGATATCCTTCACGGAAACCAAAAACCCGAAATCCGGATTGCGAGCACCCTTTTCCAGCTAATTAAAAAATTTGTGGCAGTCCCGAGTTAAAAATAAAACTGAAACTGGACAAGGCTTGACCCTCAATCATAGCAAAAAATTAGAATGAACAAATGGCGGCTTCCGTAAAATTTTTACCATCGAAAAATTACAATTACTTTCGGTTCAACCTAATACAACCGGAATTCTGAAAAATTACTGAAAACCTTTCAGTTCTTCTCACCGCAATCGGCGCCCGAAAATTTGGTCCGGCGCTAGCCTAAAGGTTTCAGAAACGCCAATAAGACTTTTCGCTCCAAAAAATGCTACCAAAGCTTTCTACCCTTTTTTCGATAAAAAAACTTGGTTTTTATTTTTACAGAAAATTGCAAAAATTACGAGGAGTGTACGCGCTACACCTATGGCCGGACGATCGTAAGATGGAGCGCAAGGAAAGGGCTTCTCGATTTCTTTCATGAAATTTTTTCAAAAAATCTAGAAAAATTATCGTCTTTACAGATTTTATTTACTTTTAGATGCTTTATACAAAAAGATTTAGATATTTTAGATGTCCTACTTGCGCTTTACTAGTCTGTTTTTCCGATTTGGACTAGTGGGAGGTTCGGGAAATCTGTAAAGAAAACCATACATGGTTCTATTCATTGTTTTCGCGCTCCTGTTGTTCATTCCTACCATTTTCGCTAATTCCCTTTTTCCAGATGGACGGCGGCAAGATTTTGGTCGTCGGCGACGAGACGGACATCCTGCACTGCGGCTACAGCCACGCGATCACCCACGAGGGCCGCCGGTACCCCTCCGCTGAGCACTACGCGCAGTCGATGCTCCTCATGCAGTTCAAGATTGACGAGGCCAAGATACTCGAGCTGTTGAGCTGCAAAAGCTCCGAGGTCAGGCGGCATGCCCGGCTCATCCTACTCGAAAATATCCCGGATGGGCAAAGCTGGAAGACTCTCGCCGACTATATGGATAGCGCCCGACAATCTTTCACCATGGAAGGCCTCCGCATACGCTATCAGCAAGATCCCGACTTCATGAAGGCCCTGATGGCCACGAAGGACTCGCTGTTGATCGTCTGTGATACGAAAGACGTGGACTACGGCATCGGAATGGATGAGGACGCATTTATACAGCTCGCCAATAAGGAGCGGTTGACGGCGCAAAGCCTCGACAACATGTTGAAGGAACGCGTGCGACCACCCGGCATAGGCGCCAACCAGCTCGGCACGCTCCTCATGTGGCTGCGTTACGAGGAGCGCGAGAAGGCCCGAAACTCGAAAATCTACCTGCCGGTGAACGAGGTCGATGGTCTCAGCACGGACGACGATGGCAGCTTTCTAAAGCTGAAGTGCAATGATCAGATCATCTATCTGAAGGGTATCTTCCGGCCGTTATCGAATTTCTACCCGCTTCCCATGGAGATCAAAGGTTATCGATACCGGAGCGTCGAGCACTACGCCTACGAAAAGCTCTTCAATGCACTCGATCTGGATGCGAAATGTGTCGAGAAAGTCGTGACCACCGTCAACCCGTGTGATTTGAAAACGGTGGCGCGCAAGGTCCTTGATGGGCAGAAAATCGACGCCGAAATCTTGGAGTCCAAGCTCGCCAAGCTGGACCGTTGGAGGCAGTCCGCAATGAAGCAAAAGTTCGCCAAGTTGGAGCCCCTGCAGCACCTTTTGCTCAGTACCGGCCAATCGCTACTCGTCGATGATGCGTGGAGCCGTGACGATTGGACGTGCGGCGCCACCGAGTCGGGCTTGCAAACAATTATGGCGAAGGATAAAGTCGGTATTGAGCAAATCATAGATTGGATGTGCTCAACGGAGCCGCCGAAAGATGTGTGCCATCTCCAAGGAAACAAATGCGGCATTTTGTTGATGGAGTTGCGTGAGAAATTTGCCGCCTCAACGCCGAACCGAATTCCGCTCACCGTGCCTCCCGTGGACCCTGAGCTACTTGGCAAGACCTCGCCGCATATCATCTGCTTCACCGGGGAGAGCGTCTTTTCGCCGTTTTATCCCGCTCAAATCCGGCCAGAGGTCGGATTGCCGTTCCTTGCGAGCCCAGTGCATTACGTGGCGCAGGAGACGACCAAGTACCTGGCATTCAAGGACTCTACGGCTGGATACGTAAACGGAGCTAAATCGCCGATTGAATGTTGGCGTCGCCTCTATGAAACGATTGCCGGCCTGGGCCGTGGATTCGAGCGTGAGCGGGTGTGGTTTATGGAGGAGCGGCAGAAGCTGATCCGCGAGGCTCTTCGGCTGCTCTTTGAACAGCACGCCCCACTTCTGCGTGCCCTTCTCGAGACTGGCGATGCTTTTCTAGGTAAATTTATTTTATTTTATCTTTTCGGCAGCGTCTGGGGTTCCTTAGTGCCCACTTTTCTATCATAAATAGAGACGGTGTTGCTAGCATGTTTTCTTTCTATTTCCAAAACGTAAAAATTATACAAATTGATATTGAAAACGTGTTGAAACCCATTTTCTATCAAACTAGGATGGTTTAAAAGAGTACTAGGTTTTTTTAGAGGTTTTCCGTTTACAGTATACTTAAATTACTAAAAACACGATTAAAGTCCTTACTATTACGTCAGTAGGCGTTTCTAAACCTGCAGGAAAAATCTGTCCTCTCATATTGCGTAAAAAACACTTTTTTTCAGCCTACTGCGTGCGCTGGAGCAGCCTCGATGCCGAATTGACGATCGGGATGCGCGAAAGCGATCTGCGGCACTGGCTGCATTCCGTGGAGCTGGACAGCAAGCAACTCGCCGACCTTTGTGCCAAGCCGCTCGCCTTTCGCCCGCCATTCCTCGGCGGCAACCACGTCGGCTTTATCCTGATGGAGCTACGGACGGAATTTCGTGAAAAGGGTGCATCTGTGTGGGCACTTCCGGAGCTGATCCTCGACACCCTGACCGTGCTGGGCAGCGATTCGCCGACGGAGAACCTGATGGCGGATGAGACGTTTGACGTGCTGGACGGCGAAACTAACGGGCTGCCCTGGGCGAATCCGCTGCTGTTGTTGGCGAAGCACACGAAGGATGCCGGCCTTTTGGAGGCGGCCCGTTTCAAGCTGCCAGGGAGGGGCCTGGTGTCCGTGGACGAGCCCCGGATCAAGGAGATCTTGGCAAAGATCGACGGGATCCGCACCGGAAAGACGAACGCACGATTTATCGAGAACCTGGCCACGGAGGAGCTGCGGGCCGTTCTCGCCCATCTCATGGCTCGCGTGCGGGGCAAGGCTGAAGAATGTAAGAAGACCGACTCCATGTCTAAAGGTATATTTCAGTATTTCATATTCCTAGAAACATATCAAAAGTTGACGTTGGCGGTAGCCAGCTTTTCCATTTCATTTCCGTTCCATCATCTTTTAGCCTTATGGATAAAATTTGTTTCGTTTTAATAGTGTTTTAAGTAGTTTCCGATACCTAAAACGTATGAAAACGTATTAAGGGCATGCTAAGACCTATTTGTTGCTCAACTTTGGCCATTTCTTAAAAGTTGTAATGCTAAAATGTCAGAATGTATTATGAAAACCCGTTAATTTTTAATAAATTTTGTTTTTTTTAGTGATGATGACCGACATCCAGCAGCTGCGCAAGTTGAGGGACGAGATTCTCGTCGAGCCGCCAAAATGCACGCCCCTCCGCCGCCGCCTCAACAATGCCGTCCCCGGCCCGTGTCCGAGCACCGAGAATTCTTCGGCACCTACCATCATCGCCCCACCGTTCGCATGTCCGCTGGAGCCGATCGGGGCATCAATTTTTCGGGCGATCACTGGAATCAGGGCCGCACACCCTTGGCGCGTGGCCGTAGCCATACCCCGTGGGTGCCGAAGGAGACTAGAGAGTGGACACCGCTCGCTCCAACGCCCAAGACGACACATCAGCAAGGTCCGCAAGGGCGCCCCAAGCAGCCGATCGTCATCACGCGCGGCGACGACGAGCTCAGCGACGGCGAGCTGCTCGACAGCGAATGAACCCGTTTTCTTGTCGGTGTTGTTTTGCGAGGTTGGGTGCTTTCGCATTATCGGGGGTCGGCAATTTCGACCAACAAACAGCCGAATTTCGATCAAAATGTCACCTTTTTGGATATTTTTTTACCTGGAATAGAATTAAATTATCTAAAAGCGTTATTAAAATACAAAAAAAAAGCGATTTTTAACCGAAATTTCAAAAATGTTCAAATTTTTGGAAAGTTTTCGTAGTTCAAATGAGTTTAATTTTCAGTAACACTGTTAAAACAATTCAATCTGTTCTCGCCTCCCCCGATAATGCAAAAGCGCCTTAAATTTAAATTGTTTGATTGCCGTTTGTTGTCCTTCCCTTGATTCACTTCTAGCGCCTCCCCTCATCTGAAGAAAGTTACAATTTGCTCTGATTTTGAAAAGTTCTTTTGCTTCGTTTTGCCCGTTGCTGTTGTTTTGATCTGTACCCAATTTCTCAATCACTAGTCAAAGGACGATGGATAAAGATTTTGTTAAACTTTTCCAGTATATTTTCCGAAAACAAGATCGTTGACATGGTTGCTTTATCGATTTAGCATTGTATGAATTTTTAGGGTTTGATTTTCTACAGCTCTTCACCGTGTCGCTTCGCTTTCTGGGCCCATCCACGGCGCTTCACTTCTCCGCCTTGTTGGCGTATCTCTTCGTGGCGTTCTGTGCGGAACTTTTTGAAGGCTTCGTCACGTTGGGTGCGTTCGGCACGCCTAAAACTGGTTTTCGGTTTCTAGGAAGCCGTTAGTATGAGGTCATTTTAGTAACAGTTCGATCAGTTTTTAGCATGTTCAATAGCCTTTTTTTTAACTACCGACGGTCCACAATATCGTAGCTTTGTTATACACTAACCGTAAAGGCTCGAACGTCTTCTTAGCGTGTTGCCGGGCTTCTTCTAGATCGTCGGTGATCAAGATGTTGTCAAAGATCGAGCCGGATTTTACCTAGATCTCATTGACTTTACTTGGAAGTACGCTAATGTAAGTCACGGGCTTTTTTATATAGAAAGTTGTTTCTTTCGCTTTATCGGAGGGGGAGGGGATGATTTTTTCCTAAGCATCCAGAAATGTCCTAGCAACTTATTATTAAGTATTTTAATAGTTCCAGTAAAATCTGGTTATATTAAAGGGCTGCCGACGGCATGTGTCGATCCCCCCCATCAACAAATTGGCAAGTAGCCAACAGGGCAGAGAGCGCGCCCTGGGGAGTGGCGCAGAGACATTTTCTTTCCAGCGCGTAACCGATTGACTATGCCGTCGGCCTCCCTTTAAAGTGAAAAACAACACTGCCGTTTCATTGAGATTCATTGCCACTGAGAAAACTTTTTTCATTGAACTTTGCCCAAAAGTCGGCCATATTTAATCGAAAAACGATATTTTTTGGGTTTTTTTTAATGAAAACTGATAAAGTTTTACGTTTAGGAATTAGAATAATAGGAAGTGGAAAAACACTTGCTCTAGTTATCAAAGAATTTTTCTGCTTGGAAAAAAGTTAAGGTTAAAATTTACTTCCCCCTGATAGTGCAAAAGAGCCAGTAACTTCAGGATCTACCTGCCAAATATCGATGCCAACAGCCCCGATATCTTTGAAAAGCGATTGATGCTTATGCTCGTGCTAGAATCTGCTTTTTGAGCAGCTTGAGGGAGGTTGTTCTACCCAATCCCAGTCCAGATCAAAGTCTTCTTCAACATATCCGGTGCCCATCCTCAGCCAATCGGTGCGCACTTCGTAGGTTCCATTTGGGTTTAGGATAAGTGTGTAGAGATGCGTGAGATCGTCCCACTCAAATTGCTGGTTTTGACGTTAAAGCGAGCCTACCGCACACCGCAGGATTTCCTTGAGCGGATATTGGCGCCCATGTTGGTTGATGATTACCTGGAATAGAATAGCTGCATAATGTCGAAATTTTTATTGTCGAGGTTTCATAACGTCGAAATTTCATAATACCGAAGTTTCATAATGTCGTAATTTCATCGTGTCGAAATTTCCATTTATCGACAGCCTTTTGCACAATATTTGGGATAGTTTCCGGATATTTCTTCATGTAAATTTCGACATTTTAAAATTTCAACATGGGAATTTCGGCATCAACTATAATAAAAAAGTAGAGACGTCCGTGTGTGTGTCCGTGTGAAGCCGAATTCAACTCGAAGGGGAAAGGAGCTAGAGCTTAGCTCTCTTCGGATTCGGATAGAGCGCCGTAAGAAACCCCCAAACTGATAAAAAAATATGAAAAACTTTTAGTTTAAATTATTAAAATTAACTTTGAAAGTGGCGCCTTAATAAAACGAGTGGGGGCCCCTCTCCCGGGAAGCCACGCCCCCTTTCCCTTCGCCCCTCTTCCCCAGGCCCCTTCGCGCGCCCAGATCGCTTTCTTAAGTTACTTTAATACTTTTAATATACTTTTTTAATACTTTTAATTATGTTAATTAATTATTTAAATTATTTAAAGTATCTAGGAAGGTATTTAGGTAGTTTTTGAAGGGGATTTCAGCCATGGGGGTTATCTGCAGCCACCAGGAAGGGATTTAGGTAGTTTTTGAAGGGGGATTTCAGCCACGGGGGGTATCTGAAGCCATCAGGAAGGTATTTAGGTAGTTTTTGAAGGGGATTTCGGCTCTGGGGGGGGTATCTGAAGCCATCAGGAAGGTATATAGGTAGTTTTTGAAGGGGATTTCGGCTATGGGGGGGTTGATGGAGGTGGGAAAGGATGTGGTGGAGTGGGACATGTAGGGTAGCCCGAAGGCCAGATGGTTGCAGTCGCGAAGCGACTGTAACCATCTGGTTTTTGATAATACCGACCGAAACTGGACGTTTAGCGCTCGTTCCTCACCTGCAAATCCTTGCGCGAGTTGCAGATGTCCGGCCCGAACATGACGTGATACGGGGTTTTATCGTTGAACTGGTGCTGATCAATGGTTGAGGGCATTATCTAGAAAAGATTTCTTTAAACCTTAGAGGTCAATTAATAGCATTTTTATATTTTGATGCATTTTTTTTTTTAGTTTCATACGTTTTAGTATATACCTTTATGTAGCCGCCACCACAATCCAGCTCCTGCTCGTGCTTGACAGTAAACTGGACGATTAGCGAAGTTTTTCGGTTTGAAAACCTGGGGAAAGTGGCGGATATCGTGTAGAAGCTGCTGTTCTGAAATGTTTAGGCTATCTTTGTTGAAATTTTACATTTTTTAGGTTTTAAATTTTGTAAGTTAAAATGTTTAACTTTTTCTTATTAGATTTTTTAAAAATTTTAACTGACGTTGTAAAGAGTTTTTCGGTTAGCTTTTTATTTCAGGTTGTTTCGAATTATCGGGGGGGTACTGTTTTCACAAATCCTGGACGCAAAACTTTACAAGTTTTATCAAAGCGAAATACAAAAATACCGATGTTTCCAGCTAAATTTCGAATTTTAACATCTTTTACGGGTTTTAGATAGCTTTTTGGACCAATACACCCCCGTTATTTCACATATTTCCAAAAACTCGCCGTCATCGTTTTGATGCCCTGATCACGGGCCGCATCGTCATGGTAGACGCCCGATGACAAATTCCACGTTCCATAATTTTTCGGGAATTGCGACTGAATCCACCGGTCCCGCCACGACTCATCGTCGAATTCCTCGAGGAAGTGGATTTTTGTTTGGAAGAGGGGCAGCGTCAGCAACAAAGTCAGTCGACTTTTCATTGTGAAATATTTTTTAACGGAATCGTGGATAGGAGTGTATAGTTCTCTAGGAAACTGGCAGTGTTTTAGCATCAGCACGCCGGTGGTTTCGTGTTGAATACGATGAATACAGCGGAATTAATGAATTGTTACTGCTTTGGCATTCTCGGGGGACAAACTTTTCTAAGGATCCTATTTTTTTAATAAACATATTAGCGTTTCTAAACTGTTTTTTTTGCTATTCTACAAAAACTTTTAACTTTTCAAAAATATAGATTTTCAACACAAAAAAATGCCGATTTTCGATCAAATCATTGTTGTTAACTTTTAAAAGCGTTTTTCTAATTAAAGATTAATTAAATTTGACTAAAACAACTGATTAAAATACTTATTATTAGGTTACAAAAATACAAAAAGATGAAGAAGACCGATTTCTACAAATTTACACGACAAAATTTCGACTATAAATTTTTTCTAACTTTTAAAAGTGTTTTTCGACTTTAACCGCAGTTAAATTTTACTAGAACAACTTTCCGCTTTTCAACAAAAGTTAGTAAGATTTTCTCGACATTTTCCCCTTCCCGCAACTTGAATCATGCCTCGGTGCGTCACGTTTCATGCGCCGAGGAGAAGCCCGGTTTCGATTTTTTTAGTTATTTTCCGGTGAGCTACAATGGATGGCGGATATTTTAGCGTATTCCTTTTATATTCTCTAGTTTTATATTCGGGCATAGAGGCGGTAAATCGGGAATGCCGATGCCCACCTCTGGTGCTCTCGTCCGCTGACGAGATTTGCCATCAAACAAATTGTGGGTATTTTTAAGCATTACTTTTATTTGAGTTAAACAATTAAATTCAATAAATATCATGAATCTAATATACCTTACATTCCATCAGATTTAAGATGGCTTAACTTTAAGGTTGGGGGATCTGCGTGGCCGAAAGCTGGCATGCCGGGCCAAGCTGCTTGGTTTTCTGCGACTTTCTCGTTAGCTGGCTCTCTCTCTCTATCTCGCTCTCTCGCTCGCTCTCCCCCTCTCTCTGTCTCTCTTGCCCTGTTTCTCTCTCATATACTCTATCTGTCCCCTTTATCTCTCCCTGGCTCAATCTCTCTCTCTCTCTCTCTCTCTCTCTCTCTCTCTCTCTCGCCCTCTCGCTCTCGCTTTCTCTCTCTCTCTCTCTGGCTCTGTCTCTCTGGCTCTGTCGCCCTCTCGCTCTCACCTAAACAAGCTACTAGAGTTTCCAAAGAAAATTATAAAACAAGGTCTAGTGCTTTCAAAAACGAATCGCCGGGCTTTGTGCTTGATTTTCATGGTTAACCATTTTGAGACGATTTTCTATCCTACTATATATAAAAATATATAAAAAATAGTGTCTGTGTGTGTGTGTGTGTATATTTGCATGCACTTCCGTTTGGATGTTCCGCACCTACAGCCTCAGAGAAGCATTTGTTCCGTATGGAAGAAACGTCATAGGGTAAAGAAGGGGCTGGAATCGACTGCACACACATAAAATCTTTGAAAAATTGCTATTTTCGCTATTAAAATTAGGTTTTTGTAAAAATCTTGGCCTCCCTCTTTGTTAGGGAAAAATTAGCATACGCCGGAAGTGGAAATGGCTTATAAAAAGGAAGGGAGGGCGTGGTTTTCATTTTTTGGGCATCGTTTTTCGGCAAGAATTGTGCAAAGTTTCAGAAATCCTAGACGGGGCCAGGGTTGAAAAGCCGCGAAGCGGTTTTTCAACCCTGGTCATTCATTAAAATCCGAAATTTCCCTAAAAAATTGCAAAAACAAGGTCAAGTTGGTGTTGACGGGAGGGGTTCAAGATAACCCGCCAACTCCGGACCATTGCTTGCAGGGATGGAAGGGTTGGGGGGTTATGTACCCGCTGAAAATGGGTGGGCCAGCTGGAGGGAAGTGGGGGAACTGGCAGAGAAAGGAGACAGCTCGTGTTCTCTCACCAGGCTCTCACAGTCGGGGTCGAGTTTTTGTATGGCAAATAATCGGTAAAGGAGGGGGAAAGCCCTGGCAAAAATGGACTACATGAAAAACGCTTTACCGCCTGCCTTGAAAAATGTCGATGAAAAATTGTTAATAACTAAAAGAATAATTATTTAAAAGCTCTTGGCATTGATATACGAGTTGATCTTGATTGATATACCAAACAGATGCTTTTTGCTTCAAAAAACTGCGAGGAAAAAACTTGTAGAATTACTATATTTGGCTAATCTACTCTTTTTTCAGTTTATCACATCAACGTCACGCGTGACGGGGTTTTCCTTGTGGATGTGCTGGTGGTAAGGCATTTCAGCCATAATCCCGACAGCCAGAGTCCGGACAGTCAGCAATGAACATTCAGAATCCCGATACTCCAAATCCCGACAGGCAAAACCCTGACAAATTCTTGACGCTAGTTTGAATGCCACTAGCATGTCGGTATTTTGCGTGTCGGCATTTTGGCAGTCGGGATCTTGACGGTTTACCCGTGGAAATTTTCGCAATGTTCCATCACGTTTTCGTATTCCTTACGAAAAAACGATATAACATTGTGAAACCTTACCAATATCTAAAACCGTTAAAAAAACAACGAAAAACTACAACTTTAGAACAACATCACCGGCGATCCGCGACGATCGGTCCAGCCGAATGGGAGACTTATTTTTACCGACGCCGCGAAGTGCACCGCTCCACGGCCTAGACGGCTTGGGGAATACATCATTACGGGTGGGTTCCAAGTACCTGCCTTCGGGAGCATCCCGTAGCTGTCGAGAGCTAGTGGATCGAAGGGTCGAATTTCGCGCTTCCTGGTGCTTTTAAAGCTAGTAGGAGAGAGGGAGTGGGAGAGCGAGAGCGGACGAGAGAGAGAGGGGGAAAGAGAGAGAGAGAGATAGAGAGAGAGAGAGAGAGAGAGAGAGAGAGAGAGAGAGAGAGAGAGGGTGAGAGGTGAGAGAAAAGAGAAAGCGCTAGACAGAGTGCGAGTGAGAGAGAGTGTGTGTAACTGAACGTGAGAGTGAGAGTGAGAGAGAGAGAGAGAGAGAGCTACAAAAAGTTATAAATCTGTATTTAGGCACAATTTCCGACTATTTGCTACAGACGGATGAGTGCAATCACCTTATCAAGCACTATTCCGAGAAGGTACTAATTACTGTACCACGCGCGGCAAGTTCAATATTCAGAATCTTGCCAAAATCAGGGACGTGATGAGCCGATGCCCGAGGGTCCCGAAACCATTTCCCGGAAAGTGGGACCCACCGCTGGACTCTGCGGAAAATCCGGAATGGCCAATCCCACCCAAGGAGCCGTGGGCTAGGCCGGATGGAGCTTTACAACCCGTAGAAAAACACAAAGAGGGCGGCGATAAATTTGTAGAGGACGTCGGAAAATCCACAAAGGCATCTGATTTGGCTGAGGCTGAAAAACCTGTAGAAGGCGTCAGAAAGCCTGGAGATGATGGAGCCGATTCGAAAGATGAGGCCGTAGACCCTGTTGAAGAGGTCGGAACGCCCAGAGAGAATCAATCTTCATCGGTAGAAGACGCTGTGAACCCTATTGAAGACGTTGAAAAAGCGAAAGATCAGGCCAACCATACGCAAGTAGTTGAACAACCTGACGAGGACGCTGACGCAGATGCAAAAGACGATTCCGAAAAAGACGAAAAACCTGTGGAAGGCGCCACCGATTCCCCACCGTTTTCCTTCGCTTCCCTGACAATCCCCTAGTGGCAGCTTCCGTGGCTATTTTTGCTTTTCTCTCGCTTTGCCTCTGTTGGTATCTTGCCAGAAAGAGAAGACGTGAACGCCAGGCAATGCAATGCTTTGGCCAGAGAGATTTGCTGTTGGTTAAAAAATAAAATTGAGTGATTTTTCAAGGAGATAGGAAGGAAAATCCAGGTTTTAAATTTTTCAAAGCCGCCGTATTCGACGAAAAACCTAAAATCTGTTTATCTCAGTTTTATCAAATTCTGGTTTTTGCTTTTTGCTTTTATGTGCCAAAATTTTCTTTAGGCTCAAAAATTTGACTGATTTTTAAACGATAATTTTTTAACCGGGACTGTGTGATTTTTATCTTTATTAAATTATAACATCAACGTTTGACGGTGCCGGGATTTAACAACACCTCTTTGAATTTTTTGAAGATTTTTTTGCGGTTTAACTGCTTTTAACGCATGTTTAAGACGATTTATAACTCTCGAAGTACCGGAATAAAATATTGAGCAAGTGGATCAATGAGAAAATACACATCAAAATCGAAGGAAATGCAAAAAGGGATCAAGCCACATTTTTCTCGTTTTCGACCTCGTTCGCCTCGACCTCCTCGTCGTCAACGTGGGCCAGGTCGGCAAAGTATCGACGGCATCTGGGAAAAAGTTTAAAAATTAAGGGGATCTGCTAAGCTGTGCATTAGGAAAAGGGCTGCAATCCCGACAGTTATAATACCGACAGCCATAATACCGACAGCCATAATACTGACAGCCATAATACCGACAGCCATAATACCGACAGCCATAATACCGACAGCCACAAGTAAAAAACTTCTCAAAAACGCGTCATTCACACTAGAGTCACGAGAAATTCGGGATCTGGTTGTCGGGATTTTGGCCTGTCGGTATTACGGCTAGAATCGACGAAGCTTGGAATGAACTTACCGCCAAACGATATAGAAAAAGACGAGGTAACACAGGATGGCGGTACCGTAGTCGAACAGTATCCGCAGGCCGTAGAAGACACGGACCAGCTCTGGAAGAGGATAATTTAACGGATACAGACTATATATTATTCTACACTCTGTCAAAAAACTATAGAACCACGGCTTTTTCTGCGAGGAATAGTTTTCTCGCCACACGTAAATGCCTGAATTTTGAGAATAACTCTTTTTCGGGATAACAAATATGAAAATAACTGCTTATAAGAATCCGAGGGTGAATAGGTTTATTTCCGAAAAATACGGATTTCTTTCCTGTCAAAAAACTATAGAATCAAAGGTTTATTTTCAACATATCAACAAAGTAACAAAGTGAATTCT